TTTAGAAGTATTTCTGAACAAATATATTAATTATAATTCAATAAAAGTTTCAAAAATAGTAAGAATTTTTCAAGTTGATCACAAGAATGTAATATAATATTGAGTAATGTTTTAAAATTTTCCTCAAAGAACATGAGTTTTTATGAATTTTAGATTAAGAAATAAAAATAAAATATATTTAAAATTTACGTAAGTGATTACAGACGATTTAATTGATCAAATTAAGATTTATAAAACCTGGAATAATCGTCTTGAATGAAGAATAATTTGGTAGATTTAAATCACATAAATTATCATTAAATCAAGCAAAAATTAAGTTGAAAGTAAAAAAAAAAATCTAACTTTACGACGGTGATGTGTCGGTGATGTACTAGAATCCTAAACGTTCGAGAGGATTGTCGTATAATGTCTACAATCTTAAAAACTCTCTTTAGACAAGGACGATGTTAATAATTTTTAAATTTTCTTGCGAAGTCTAAAGATCAATAAAACAAGTCGTTGAATCGTCTCTCGCTGCTGTCACCTAATGGAACGAAAAAACGACGACTTTGTGGCTCTCTAGTGGCTGTCACCCAATGAAAAAGAGATGGATGGAGGTGAGGCGCATGTTAAGGAGCTTCATTCTCAGGTCCATACAGTAAGAGGAGGCTCTTCATTACATCTAGTACACCTTCAAGAGGTGGCAACTCATCTCTCGGCGGATCGTCCTCTTCTTGATGACGGCTTGTTCATTGATCAATCAAGGATCCTTTACTCAATAGATTTATGATCTTTTTATCATGAATCATTTCGTAATTTTAGTAATAATGCTTCGTGAATTGTGTCAACGAGATTTTCGCCGATGATCCTTTACTCAAATAATTCTGGTGACTTAATCCTTCACCGGCGATCTATAAGAAAGTCGAGATTTAATCAAATAAAAATACGAGTTTTGATTTTAATAGGATTTGAACTTGTGCTGGTTGCTCGCCTACATGAGAGAAATTGACATAAGTATTCTAATACTCTTATAAAATGACGTCATCATGATATATCTTTATTATCACTAAGGAATATTTTAGGTATGAAAATAAAATAAACAAAACTATTTCAAAGAAGGTGTGATGCAGGTTTAGTCCCACATCAATTGTATGCTGAAGTTTTAGATGAATATATAGTAATATCAAATTTACAAGTAATGAGTCTATTTCTCATATGTACGACTACTCTTTGCCCCACAGCCAGCTGACCACTAGTGACATGGAAGGGGAGTGACGCACACGTGCCCCCATCAGTCCATACCTATTCAAGCCCTTGCTCATGGCTCCCCTCGACTGCACTTCCGACCTGCTTGCGGGCCTAGTTGACTGATGGGTCCTCCCTTTTTTCCTATTTTTTTAAATTTCTTTTTCTTTATTTATCTCAAAAATAAGACTATAAAAATCATATAAATTTATATAAAATCACATAATTAGCTAAAAATTCACATTAATAAACTAAAAACTATTTTTCACAATTTAACATAAATATGAGTCTATTTATCATGAGTTAAGACTAAAACTATATTATTTATTAATTATTAACTCATGATAATGAAGACTTATCAATAAGGGTCACATCACTAGATGATGTGACAGCAAGGGCCATAAGAGTAGGGGCAGCGACAGCAAGTGGGCTGTGGTAGTAGGACAAGCATTGGCGTGCTGGTTGCGTATGGTACAACAATAGATTTTTGGTGATGTAGTTGATAGCAGTATGTAGTAGATGATGATGTGTGGTAGACAATGGCATGTAGAGAGAGATAGGAGAGCATGTAGAGGATGTGGCAACAGTGACATAATGACAGCAACAACGACAACAACTAGAAATAACTTTAGGACTTTGATACTATGTTGAGGAGAAGGGTTAAATCCTAATATTATATTAACTCTAAATGAAGAGATACATATGTTTATATAGGTGAGAGAAGAGAGAGATAATGAGCTCAAGTAGATTGTCTACTAAAGATTGAGTAAAGATGAAAAAGGAGATAGAGTTGATGAGCAATGTTTCACACACATGTTCAATTATTATCATTATGAATGTTATGATATGGATTCGCCTTGACATTTCTCATATTATTTGTGTGTTCAGCAAGTAAATGAAAAATCTAATGTCTACTAGAAGGTTATAAAGTGGACTCTTTGTTACCTCAGAGATACTTTAGATGTGAGTTTGATATTATAGAAAAAAATTAGTGCTATCAATAAATTCATTAGCTATGCTAATTATGATTATGCTAGTAATCTAGAGAAGAAGAGACAACCATGTTATATCTTTACTTTATTAGATTATACTGTTAATTGGAAACCTATTTTACAATCTATAGTACCTTTGTTGATAACAATAGAGGCAAAATATATGAAAGTGTAAAGAAAGAGAGAAGTTTTCTTCTTCAAAAATTTGGTTGATGATTATGATCTAGTACATGAGATAACTTAGATGTATTGTAACAATCAAAGTGTTATACATTTTACTAAAAATCAGATGTACCATGAGAGGACTAAGTATATTGATTTAAGATATCACTTTTTTTATGATATTTTTCACAAGATACAGTTGTTGTAAAGAAGGTTTATACAATGAATATTTATTTGGAGAAGTTCAGGCATTGCTTAAACTTAATAAAATCACAAAAGTACATGAGAAATGCACTAATAGGGGTAATGACAGTTAACAAGAATATGATAGAGCTTGGTGGTAGACATTAAAAGACGAACTATGAAGAGAATTATAATAAATGTGGCTCTCCTTTCTATTACAGCTATATTTAATGTAAAGGAGGAGAGGAGCCATCCATGAGAGAGAGAAACGGCCTGTTTGCGGACCGATTCTTACGAATGGAAACATCCGACTTATACGTGGACCCCATCAAACAAACATGGCCTAATACAAATAGACTGGGTGAAGCGGAGAAACAGCCCAGCTAGCCATTTTTCACAAAAATGGGCCATGTGGTCAAGATTTCAAGGCACGTTCTGAACGGCTCATCATGGTTTTGAGGTCCTCCAAGTTGCCTATAAATAGAGCATCATTATTTTCACTTGTATCATCTCATTAGAGAAAGCTTGAGAGAGGTGTTAAGGAGAAATATCTTGTTGGGTTAATGAGTACTTTGCGGGTCCATATCAAATATTTATTTATTGGGTTCTTGGTTAAAGTTATCCATATAAGCTTATATTATATAATAGAGTTTTTCATCGTCACCCATGGACTTAGAGGCCAACCTCTGAATCACATAAAATTTATTTTGTCGGTGCTTTCATTGTGAGCTGATTCTTCTCCTCTTTCCACAAGTCTGAAGTGGGCTTTTGCTCTAATATGGTTAATCAGAAGAAGTATGTAGTGGATCATTTGACTCCATATTTAAGGATTCGTAGGACCATGGAGGCCGCGCCTGATAAATACTGTTATTGTGGGTCATAAGATTTCCTCAATAAATCACTTCAATAATCTAGTGACACCATTTCTTCGTCTTTTACTTAACAAGGACCAAAATAAACACTCCCTTCTCTTGGCCTCTATAAACTCGCTCTACTTCAGAGATCCAGCACAGACTAAGCCATCTATCGAAGATTGAACATGATAAAGATTTGGAGGTGATGACGAGTCATAGGAGAGCTATTCAGCTACCCCCACTCTCCTTCCCATCCTCTCCGACTGTCTCCCTCCAATGAAAACCCTCCACAGAGTTTTTAAATTGATCCAATGTTTGGTAGACATGTTGAGGAACTGAAGATGGGTAACTTCTACGTACTCCCAGGCCCCCAATCTCGCGATTCTCCTAAAGGGAAGATAGAATATTAGGTTCTTCTCTACCTACTTCCTTATTCTCCGTCCTGCAGCTTTCCCCCTCTCCCATGAAAGCCGTCCACAAAGTTTTTCAATTGATCTGTCAGTGGAACACCAATCAGAAAAAACTGCTACACGTCATCGACAAACCGGAGATGGTAGTCCCCACACTCTCCTACCCTCTCAATTATATGATTCCTGTGAAGGAAAGGCAAACGAGAATGCTTTCCTCTGGCCACCACCTTATCTACCCCGCTGCTCTCTTCTTCTCCCTCTGCAGTTGCACCAAATCTAGGCCGCTCGCTCGTCATTGGTTTCAGCGGACGAACCTTGGCATTACAATAATACAATACAGATTGGGAATTTACAACACTACTAATCAAATATATAGATCCATTCCACTCCACTGAGTTTTTACTCGGATGTCAACCCAAACAGAATAATAATGGGTTAGGAAGATAAAGTCATGTGATTAATTTATAATATACTTACCGCACAGATTATCGCCTACAGATATCGATTTGGATGCTGGAATTCTCCTAGCCACTACTCCCCAAAGTACTATTCCTTGGTTAGGCTTGACCCTCCGAGTTCCCTTCCCCAACTCGATTCCAGTTTACGTTAGTTCAGAGGCCCAGGATCTGGGGTGGCGTCCAGTTCATCTTCCCGTCGAGCTGCCTGCGGTGGCCCCGGCATCCCAACCTCCCCCCACCCCCATTGGTGCGCTTTTGGACCGGATATTTTTCGCCATGTCGGCGGGGTCAACCGGTCCTTGCACAGGAGAATCTCGAGACTATTCGCAGCAGGAAGAACTAGCTTGGGAATTCTCTCATTTGAATAAATGCAGGCTACACATTTATATAAAATAAAAAATATTCATTAATTGATAAAATTACCTATTTTAATTTGGTTGGCACGTGGCAGAATTCACGGGTGCCTTGATTTATGTAGAGTCGCTATTTACAAAGATGATGATCAAGGAGGGAAGAGGACAGCCACGTGGCGGTTTAGTCTCGGTGCAGATGCCGGGTTCTTCCACTCCCCCGAGGGCACTTCCAAATTACCAGTTTTCTCTCCCCCTCGCTTGCGAAATAAGTTTCCCGCTGGGTTTGTTTGGGGGGCGGGAGGTCCGGTCAGAGAAGAGGGGATCTAGCATATCTTGCGGGGTGGTCGCCGCCGCCGTGGAGGGGATGAAGATACTCTGCAACGCCTGCGAGGCGGCGGAGGCGAGGGTCTACTGCTGCGCCGACGAGGCGGCGCTGTGCTGGGAGTGCGACCAGAAGGTTCACGCTGCCAACAAGTTGGCCAGCAAGCACCAGAGGGTTCCCCTCACGAGCTCCTCTTCCTCACTGGTGCCCAAGTGCGACATCTGCCAGGCGCGTCCCCCTGCCCTCTTCCCTATCTCTTCTTTCTGACCACCTTCTTAGCCACAGCTCGTCGTTTGGCGAATTGGGTCTAGAATCTATTGTCTGGCGCAGATGACGGATCCTTTTTCCGGCGACGATCACGCTGGGTTTACTTGGAAGGTGTTTTCTGGAGAGAAGGATCCTCTGTTTGGGAAGAACGAGCGTGTTGAGAACAAAAGTTGGAGCAGAATAGGGCCCTCAACAGAGTTGGGGAAGGCTGGGTAGATATCAAAATAATTTTTGGTTTGGTCATACAGAAAAGAAGTAGCTAAGAAAGGAAGAACCAATCTCTGCGGCAAATTCTAAAAAGTCAGCTTAATTTGTGGATGTGGCTATGAGAAATCTGTCTTACTCGAATACTACTGCCTATATTTGTTTTCTTTTAGCTAACATAGGTTGACTTCTTGGAGAAGGAAGGAAGATGGTACTCTGAATAACAGGAAAAGGATAATGGGAAATTTTATTTGTTTTTTTTTTAATGGGGCACTCGCTAAGAGAGGTTTCCTCTTTGTTATCTAGAGATGTCGTGCTGAGCTTGAAAGTCTTCACATAAAACCCTGACGCCAACCCCATCAAGCTTAAACCCCTTCGGAGTCAGAATTGCAGTGAAGACTCTCCCATGCCATCCAGTAGCCGATGATAAAATGAAAGCATTTTTATTTGGTTTTTATGGGCTTCATCGTCCTACAAATCGATGGAATTGCACCGGTGGGTTCAAACCCTTCTAGAAATCTACGATTCGAACTCATCTTCGTTCTTTTCCCAGTTGCTTCTTCAACGCCATCTGTGTGATAGGAGCATAATGGTTAATGAGGAAAATTGTTTCTACAGTGATGCGCTGCAGTCTTCATCCATTAATGGCGTAACAACCACAGTGTGAGTTTTCTTAGAGAGGGAGCAAGGTGGGGATGAAGCTTTCTCTGACGAATGATAAAGGTCAAGAAGGGTGGAAAATTATTCTACATATGGTTTTTTACTGGGCAGGAAGAGTTAAGATTTCTAGAGCGATGAAGACCTAGACATTTTAGCGAATTATGCTAAATCTTGTGGATATTTTTGTAAATAAATGCGGGCTCTTTTCGTATCTTTCACTTTGGTGACATCATAACACGAAAAGCTGCTTTATGTGTGGTCTTATATTCAGCTGCTTTTTACTGGTGTCTGTCTGAAAGGTACCTGGGAATGAACCTACCCTTTAAATGCGCTGTGTGCTTCCTGGCTCGAGTCCTAAAGGATGGTGTATTAATATGCAGCTGCATTTCTTTTTTGTGGACATAAATGTTAACTAATTATTTAAGAAAAGGATATAATTCTGGTAGTTGGGTGTGCATTTTGGGGCGTATTCTTATATGTTCCCTCTGGAGATTTCTTCTCACCTTGACTTGTTTTCTGTATTTTGAGGTGGGCAGTTCCATTGTAGCTGAATTTAAGGATGTTCAGATTTTCTACCGTTCATATTTGCGATCGGAATCAAATTTAGAATATTTTCAATTTAAAATTGTATAATTTATGGTTGCAGGATGCTCTAGGATACTTCTTCTGCTTAAATGATAGAGCACTGCTCTGCAGGAAATGTGATGTCAGCATTCACAGTGTGAACTCTCTTGTGTCGGCTCACCAGAGATTCCTTGTGACAGGAGTTAGAGTGGGAATCGAACCCAATGAGCGTACTTCATCCGTTGCTAGGGAACAGGAGATTCCTCAGCCGCCACCTAAATTGGCATCAGAGGGAAGTCTATCGATGTCGCTATCTAGGGGAGAACACAAAGCTGGCCCCAATCAAGTGGGCTGGAATGAGAGTTTTCCAGTGAGCAGAGCTGTCGTCAATGGTGGCGCAACCACTCCAAGTATGTCTGGTTGGCCGCTGAATGAATTTTTTGGAGCGGATTTCAACCACGATTGTGGATTCCAGGGGAATGAATCATCAAAGGTTGGCCATACTCTTTCCTGTCATTTTCTAAATACGGATGAGTTACAGCCATGTTCTTGTATAGCTATTTGCAATTTTTAAAATTTTATTTAGTATTCACGGCTAGTTATGGATGATAGACGGATTTATTTGGTTTTTTTGTTAGGAAATGGCTGGGCAGGCCTTTGTGCTCACTTCTAGTCTTTTTTATGTGTTTTATTATCGAATTAACTCGGTAAATCTGTAACATAATATACATACATATAGTCGTATAAGTAAATATATAATCAATGGGAATTCTGTGACGAAAAATATTTCTATAATATGGTTTGGTGTAAATTCTGTTTCTGCTGTTGAATCCACCTTGATCGAAGAACTTTGACGTTTAATTTCTGCAAAGCGTAAATTTTGGCTGCATTGATGCCGTACTCCCTCGGCTTGGACGAGACCTGGCAGGCTAACAGTGGAAAGCTCGGCAACTCGGAGGATTCCTCAGTCCACCGCTGCGGTGACGAAGAGCTGGAGCTGGAGTGCTGCATGGACCAGGTGCCGGACATGCGCTGGACGGTGCCGGAGATCACGTCGCCGCCCACATCCTCCGGGGTCAACTGGCCGAGGAACCCACGCAGCGCTGCCGAAGCCTCTGTGTTCGTGCCCGACATCGGTGGCTCCTCCTTCCACGGCGCAGCAGCCGCCAAGCGCCGAAGACCCATCGGAGATTTCCCACACTGAGTCAGCCCTCGTCGTCGTCGTCGTCCTTGGTTGTCTGTGCTTCAGCTACGAGCTAAACCCGCTGTTCTTCGACGGAGCCTGGTTCGGCAGGTGTCTTTGAAACTTTTTGTGAAGCTGTAGCTCGCTTGTTCTGCCCTCGCGGGCAATCATCATCCCTTGTTTCTTCGGCCGGCTGCCCAGGGGATCGTCGCCTTCTCCGGTCCATATCCTTCGGGAAAGATACCCAGAACGCATTCTCCGGCCTCTGCCGCAGAGATGGGCCCAGCCGCCGGCGGGAAAGCTGGAAAACGAGGGGCACCCACAGAAGAGGGCGGATCCAAGCTTTCAGCCGACACCATAGAAACGCGGTTATGATCCGGGCTCTAGGTTTGTCTGGCCCACCGGAATTCTTACACCGACGTCATAGTCTATTGCTGACGATGAATATTGCAAGTCTGCTACGACGGTAAGCCCATAGTAATGGGTCACATACATATGGAGAGCCGACGCAAATTCGCTCATATTTAGTTCTTAAACATCTAGGTGGTACCTCACTCCAATTTTTTTCTTTCAAATTCATCCCTGCTTGGAATAGATGCATCGGAAGCGCGTTTCGTTTCTAATTGAGACGGTTGACGCATATGAATCCAACGAAAACCTGGTTAGACCAGAAAATTCTGATAAATATGACGAAAAAACCCAATATGAACACGACCACCATCCATTTTGGCGGGCTTGAATTGGGTTTATTATGTGTGGGGGTGTGTATGCATATATTTTGCGAGAGAGAGAGAGAGAGAGAGAGAGAGAGAGAGAGCGTAAGTTGGTGGCCTAGGGACAAAGTCATCTCTGAACTTGCACGATCAACTTTATGACTGCGGGGGACGTGGCCAGACGTATTTTGGTTTTTAGAATTAATTTTAAGTCAACGTCATAGACTCTAAAGAAGACACTAACAGCCTTGCCGCGAAAACTGAAAAATGTACAACGAGGTAACTAATATAGAAAAATCCCAAAACGCACCGGCTAGATGCCGAAATAAAGAAGATTCTAATCGTGGAGAAGGCAGTCGATGACAGGCACACATTTGGCTTTGAGCTGATCATGCCGTCTAAGTTCTCCGTCCAGAATCTTAATTTATAACGAATAATAAAAGAAATTATGAGCACAAAATAATAGCGGCGGATCAAAAACTTTTATGTAGATGGAATCCAATCTCGAATTCCTTCAAATTCCCTCTAAAAAGATTAATATTTAGCCCAAATTTTGTCAAAATCGTCCCCACATGATAAATGCATCGTAAACTCATCCTCCAACGTGGTTTTTTTGATTGACGCAGTAGCACAAATGAATCCGACTAGATTCTGACAACAACACTCAGTTTAACCTAATTGAACAGAGAGTTTAGTTTGAGGAGCTAACAATGAGTCGGGTTAGAACTAATCCAAGTATGAACATGATCACCTTCGGAAAGGTTTTGGGTCTTAGTTTTTATGTGTATGTATGTGCACGGGGAGAGAGAGAGAGAGAGAGAGAGAGTCAACCGGCACCGGCTTGCCGACTTGCACCATATATGTTCTCGTAATAGGGGACCCAGCCAGATGTTACTTTTTCTTGAATTCACTGGAGACATCAACCGGCTTGCCTAAAATCGGAAAATGGCAAAAGCCAGTAGATTATCTGATATCGGAAGGTGTGAAGTCCACCGCTTAGATAGTGAAATAAAAAAAAAATCTAAGAATATGATTATCCCATGCGCACGTGCAGAGAAGCCTACTCGCGTCCGACCAACATCCAAACAGTTGAAAAGGCATGAAACAATACTCCCTCCCACCTCGCCGCCAAAAGCAGTGGCTGGAGTTCGCCCGTCGCCGTCGACTTCTCCGGGAGAAATCGAGAGTGCGCTTCGCATGAGCGCCCCCCCTGGTGGCTGGAAGTCCCCCGGAGTCACTTCGAAAATTATTGGCCGGCGAATCTTTCACGTGATGGAGATACCTTCTGCGATCCTCGCAGTCCTCTGCTATCGCCTTCGCCACCTCAGAAGGGGCGGATGTACTTTCCCAAATTACGGTCTGATCCTTGCCAAGATTCGGCTTATCAAGGTCGAAAGAGGATGCTGACTGAGAAGAGATAGAAGACTCGTTGTTTAGTTTGCGTGAGATTAAGACATGAAGACGCGGTCAGGGGCCATCAAGGCTTTTGGAGTGGTGGGCCGGTCGGGCCACCATCAGCCAAACTTTGGTGTCTTTGTTTCCCTGTCTTGGTCAGCTTTAAAGGGGTCCGATGTACACTCTCAGGCCCCGAATGTTTTTCCAGTTATAGGCAGAAAAGTTGGAACGACGAAATCACCTCAATGTATGCAGACGTATTCAGAATCTAAGACGAATTCTCAAATTTAGACGTGTTGGAATGATACTATGGCAACCGTTCTGATAAAATTCTATCAAATAGATGAAAAGAAGAAAGAGAGGACGATAAGGGAATGGTCTCCTGGCTGCACAGTTCCCACGGCTACCTGGAGGTTTTCAACGGAGGAGGATAGCTCCCGAGAATTAGAGGCCCTCGTAACAGGAACGGCGCCGTATATTTGCACCTAACCCGCGTCTTGTTGCCGTACTCCGAGGAGGACCCACTTTGTTGCCACCCATCCGTTGAGGCCGCGGGCCGCGGAGTATATAGCAAGCTAAGTGCTCCCCTTCCTCCCTCTCTATGAACCCACCACCCTTCCCCCGGGCTGCCTCAGACGTTTCATAGGATGGGAACCAATGGCAGCGGAAGAAGTGGCGGTGATACTAGGAGCCGGGACATGACGCCGCAGGATCCGCTGTGCCTCGGCCGGGTGGTCGGTGATGTGTTGCATCCATTCACCAGGTCCGTCTCTCTCAGGGTGGAGTACAGCAATAAGCTTGTCGTCAACGGCGGCGGGTTCAAGCCCTCTGCCGTTGTCCGACGTCCTCGCGTGGAGATCGGCGGCGCTGATATGAGGACTTTTTACACTCTCGTACTCTCTCTCTCTCTCTCTCTCTCTCTCTCTCTCTCTCTCTCTCTCTCTCTCTCTCTCTCTCTCTCTCTCGCTCTCTCTCTCTCTCTCTCTCTCTCTCTCTCTCTCTCTCTTTCTCTCAGTCGCACACGCACACGCGGTGTGGATTCCTCGTTTGTTTTCCCAGGTGATGGTGGACCCAGACGTGCCGAGCCCCAGCAACCCTACGCTAAGAGAGTATTTGCACTGGTGAGGACTAATACAAGTGAGAAAATGAGATCGAATACCCTGTATTCGGAGAAATCCTATCGGTCACTAAATCATTCAAAAAGTTGATAATATTAAGAGTAATCATTTCTTTAATTTTTTGTCAAATATATATAAGGTAATGAAAAATTCGGCCGTTATTTCCGAATTATCTGGGTCGAATTATGCGATCCATGAACCCCTTTGCTTAGTATAATTCATAAGGTTTGAGCCAGATTTGACCAAAATTGTGATAAATACCATATGGCAAGAGATCAAATTTTATTCCATCATGTAGTCTCGAATAAGTTGCACATCGGCACTTTATTAACTGACGATTTTCCTTGTTGGTTATCTCTACGACAGGTTAGTGGCTGACATACCAGCAACAACTACTGTCGATTTTGGTGAGCCAACGCTTTACAATTTTGTTATATAAAGCGTTTCATGTATAGCTATGTTTTTCATGTATAGCTAGGCTTTTCATGTATAGTCAGGCTTTTTATTTGTCTCTAAAAATTTCATGTATAGCACTTTTCGTCTAAAAATTGACCGTTAGCTTGATTATATTTGGTAACTTGACGCCGAAAAATTCTTGGCAATCACTATTTTTGGGTCATTGCATGGGTGCCTTAAATATCACATCTATGCTAATTTCACGTTTAATAATTGATAGTTCAGCTTCCATTAAACCGTATAGGGGGTCAAATTTGGCGATCTATATTTTACGAAGTAACCTTTTGAGGATTTCACAATGAATGAAATTCTCAAACTCAGTTGACGATGTCAAGTCTTCTACACTGTGCTCCGTCTCTTTTTAGCCTTGCAAAAGATGATGCTGGTTTATAATATCTGAACCATTTGTGTAATATTAGATAACTTGAGCCAAAACTCCTCACCTATCATTATTTATGTGGATCAGAATGATGATACATTTATTACTCTACGTTTACTAAATTCATGTTTAACAACTGATAATTCGTCTTTTATATAGTGATATACTCAATCAAAACTTTCTTCAAGAATGGTGAGCTTTGCTTTTTCAACTTACCCTTTTGAAGATAGTCACTACATAAAGGTCATTCTAAAGATCAAAGTGTCAAGACTCGTCCATTCTCTCTCTCTCTCTCTCTCTCTCTCTCTCTCTCTCTCTCTCTCTCTCTCTCTCTCTCTCTATTTCTAGCTTTGCGGAAGCTAATCCTCACCCCAGAATTGTACGCGAAATATGTTATTTACGATAACTTACACGAAAGTTCTTAATCATCAACATTTGTATAGTCAGTAGGGTACTACTTTCTCCACAGATAATAATTCCATGTAGAGTAGCTGATAATCCATATGTATGCTAATTACCATCCCCCTCTCCTCCCCACTCAATCAAAACCCACGTCAAATGTGAACGGGATTCTCTAACTTAGATAAACGTGGTTATAAATTTCAGCCGCTGAGCACTAAGTGTCATCCATTCTTTTCAGGGAAAGAACTGCTGTGCTATGAAAGCCCTAGACCCACTGCGGGGATTCATCGCCTTAGTCTTTGCGTTGTTTCAACAGCTCGGTAGGAACACCGTCTTTCCTCCCACATTCCGCCACCACTTCAACACCGGCGACTTCGCCCAGCAGTACAACCTGGGATCGCCGGTGGCCGCTCTCTACTTCAACTGCCAGAGGGAAGGGGGATCCGGTGGAAGGCGATTCATGTAGGGCCACATGCAATACGTACCACCGAGTGCTGCACCACATCGTCCAAGCATATATACGTGGTACTCGTATTACATAAGTGCACGTATAATTTCCAATGTTAGTACGCGTGTTGCCATTTAGATGGGGTACATTTACGATGGCTGATTATAGTCATATACAAATATGTTGGTAGATTATACAATGCTTTTCTTATAGGTGGATTGCAGATTCCTTTGGTTGCGACCTACCTCTAGCTAGATGGTCGATCAGTCCTGGTTCAATGAACCTTTCAGGGAATCATGCACAATTTAGGGTTCTCGATGGGCCTGGCAAGCTCCTTGCCAAGCCCAGACTGGTTTCCACTCGGATCAAGTTTGACCTGAAGGCCCGAATCTCAAAGCCCACCCCTTTTTGCTCACCCTTCCCTCTCCTTAGCACCCAACCCCCCCCCATTCTTCCTCTCTCTTCTTCAGCCAAGTGCCCCTCTGCCCAACCACCTGTGGCGCGCAATACCCACGCTTCCCATCCAGCAAGACACCACCCTTCCCCAATAATCCCCCCCAGCTCCCCACTCCTTGCAGTCATGCCCATTTGGCTGGGGCTATGCTTCATAAGGCTCTCTCTACTATGAACCCTGTTTTTCAGCAATTTTGCAAGACTCCGGCAGCTCACAGGCCTGTTAAAATTTTAAAATGTCGTTGGAGCCAGTCCAGGGCTTAGCACGCACCCAGCTTGGACGTTGCTGGCACCATTATTATTACTATGTCTAAATTATACTAACATTATTTTAATCAACGATTTCGTCAGGAGACAAGCATCACCTCCTTGCATAGCGGAATGAAGTGTAATAACAAGAAATAGAGAGAATGAGGGAAAGAAACACGCCAGAGTTGGATCTGGGTACGCATACCTAGCCTTGACCATTTTCCACGCACCACTAACAGACTTTGCTGCGACTAAGCACACCTAGTTACAACTAGTCTGACTCCGGTGGGCATATTATTCGTATGATAATTTTCAGATTGGTCTATTATTAGAAAAAAATTCTATAAAACTCTAGGTTGCATAAATGGGCATAACTTATTGTCAATTAGTCTGGGGTTATACACCTCAAACAATCATTGCCCATCATGAGAGTCTATTTTTCGATTATTCTATGTTATCAAATAAAGTAAAAATAAGTCTGTTTTCTAAACTAGTAATGCAGCTGAAAGAATGAGAAGGCTCCCCAAAACTGCTCTTAAGGGAATGCCGCCACTCTCACCCAAGTTAAATAGATGAAGGAGGGTAAGAAGGCAGCACCATCGGATCAATAAGACCTAACTATTGATCGAGGGTTGGACTTTTATGTGGTGGCGGCGTGTATGACCTGTCCTCATACATCAATTCCTTGCTCCCTCGCAAGAATGCTAAAGTGAACAGTGCCACCAAGGTTTAATGATGTGTGAAGGCGACCTTAAGATGGGCATCCGTTGGGGATCCAGAATGGGCCTCTTCAAAAGACCTTTGCCCTCCACTTGTGCCTCTTCCAGTTGCAATTCAATTGAGATTGTTCCATTAAAGGTCAACGTTACGGAGTCCTAAATGTTTCCATATATGCCCAGTTACTTCTTGTAACCTCTCCCGCTTCTCTCCTCTCTCTCAAGTGTAGAATCTAGTACTAGATGTAGCAGCCAAACTGGTTGAAAGCGCGACGCTACAGAAAAGTCCAAACTCTAAACTGATTTCAAATATCTACTAATAGTAGGTCACTTCGTATAACCTGTCTGTCTGTCTGTCTCTCTCTCTCTCTCTCTCTATCGATCTATCTAACGGTCTTTTTCATGTAAAGTGGATGACATATTGCTCCACCTTCTCTTTGGATCTAGTTATGACATATATGGTCAAACGATGGCGCATCTCAGCATGTTTGGGTCCAAATCGGCCATCAATAATCTTGACGTAAAAGGACGACCAAAAGCTGATAATTCCTCTGGGTGTCCACAATTCACGAAATTTCAGATCTATCCCGAACTTGTCATGTGGGCGCGAAGGGAAGTAAGGTGGTGAGGTTTCGAAATTTCAGATCTATCCCGAAATTTCGATTTCAGACCAAACTCAGACACACCCCCTTTCACAAGCGCTCTTGGTGAGGCTTCTCGTAAGTTCCCTATTGTCTTGCATCGACAATTACATATTTACTGAGGGTTATTAAATTTTGAATCCTGTATTTAGGTGTTTTATTGAAAAAATTCGAATCTTTTCAATATTATTTAAATAACACCGAACTTTACTCTTTACACGTGAATCCAGATGCTAAAGCGGGGCAGGGTGACGTCATGCAGAGACGAATTTCAACAGATGCATGGTTCATGTATGCACTCCCACGTGCGCCACATCGTAAAACGACAAAGTAAGCTTATTAGTCAAATCTCTGCGACGACTTGGCACGTGTGGAAGAATGCATGGCAAGATCGCTTCTGATCAGATGATATCTCGCGACGTCACTTAGGCGCCTCTACCGGATCCCCGCATCGGGTATCTCGGCTGCTTATCGAATAGGATCCCACAGTCAAGAAGGGTGTGGTACCTCTCTCTCTCTCTCTCTTTCTCTCTCTCTCTCTAACACACAAACACACACACTGACACACAATGGGCCTCTGTACATTCGGGCCTAAAGTTGGTGGTGGGCATATCAGGCCGCTTCTTTTCGAAATTCCTTCCAACTTTTCGAGGGGATACGGCCCAAAAGGGCCGAAAACGGCCCTTTAGCATTAAAGCGGGACATAAAAATCGGAGGACACGTGGTGGAGGGCCCACGGGAATGGAGCCCAGATCTTATCTTGAGCCGACGCTGGGTGGGGAATCTGCCTCTCTTCGGCCAAAACCAAGATGAGGTGTTTCCGCTTGGTCAAACCTGTTGCTGAATCCGGGCATATCTCTGCCCAGAAGTGCTAACCAGATGCCCGCTTCGGAGAACCGGGATTGGCCGAAGGCTCTCCTACTCAGCGGGAGGGGGGATGTAGAGACAGAGATAGATAGATAGATAAATAGATATCTAGATAGATAGACAGAAAGATAGATAGAAAGAGAGAGACGGAGGGAGGGAAGGGGAGAGAGAGAGAGAGAGAGAGAGAGAGAGGAATCCAGTCAAATTGTTCTCTCAGTTACAACTGGAAAAACTACCCTAGACGATAAGCAACGGATAATCCCTGAGAGGCCCATCAGATGGAGATAAAAGAGGGAAATTGAAGACGACTTCACAGCGATAGAGAGCGAGGGAGGGACAGAGAGAGAGAGAGAGAGGCTTAGGCGGAGGGAGCACGTTAAAAGGCTACACCGGCCTTCAGCACAAACTCCTCCAGAATCTCAAGATGGAATCAAATATTAGGCGAGATCACGGCCTACGCGGCCATGACCATGAGAACGAGCGGGCTACAGTGCCCTTGTGGGCTTTTCTTCGATGGTGCGTGCAAAAGAAAGATTCAGACGTCCCGCTCCCCCCCTTCTCTCTCTCTCTCTCTCTCTCTCTCTCTCTCTCTCTCTCTCGCTCTCTCCCTCTCTCCCTCTCTCCCTCTCTTTCTGGTTTGAGGAATGGCGGAGTCCCTAGCCAAGGGCTCTCCATCTATAAAACGACTAGAAGATCTGGGTCATTCCCCAAGCCAAAGCCAGACCCATCGATCCAATCCGCAGCGAAGATGTCTCGTGACCGGGATCCGATAGTGGTCGGCCGCGTGGTCGGGGATGTCCTGGACCCGTTCACCAGGACCGTTCAAATCAGGGTGGTCTACAACAGCCGGGAAGTCTCCAACGGCTGCGAGTTCAAGCCGTCCGCCGTCGCCGGTCCGCCGCGCGTGGACGTCGGGGGAGGCGACATGAGGGCTCTCTATACACTCGTAAGTGAAGACCACCACGACGAGGCTTTCCTCCCTTCTGTGACGCCGTCTTTCTCACCTTCTCCCTCCTCTCTCCTTCTTTCTCTCCTCTTCCGAAGGTGATGATCGATCCCGACGCCCCCAGCCCCAGCAACCCGACCTCCAGGGAGTACTTACAGTGGTGGGTTCTCCCCCAACCTCAATCAACCCTCCACTGCCTCATCTCTCTCTTCGCGCCAGTGAATAACACCACCTGTTTTCTTCCTTCTTGCTGTTCTAGGTTGGTGACGGACATCCCCGGGACGACTAACGCTACGTTCGGTGAGTTCTCCAGATCTTTTCCCCTCCCCCTCGCCTCATCTTTCTCCCCTCGGTCCTTGAATTAGCTCACAGCACCCCCACCTACTGACAGAAATTATCGAAAACGTGACAGGCAACGAGGTTGTGGCCTACGAGAGCCCCCGTCCGACGGTCGGCATCCATCGCTTCGTGTTCGTTCTCTTCCGGCAGCTCGGCAGGCAGGCCGTGTACGCGCCGGGCTGGAGGCAGCAGTTCAACACCAGGGACTTCGCGGAGGTGTACGATCTCGGGCCCCCGGTGGCCGCCCTGTACTTCAATTGCCAGAGAGAGACTGGCTCGGGTGGGAGGAGGTTCAGATAGTAGGCTACTCTGTACTCTTCATTACACCCCCCGCGTGCTTCCGTCATCAAGATTCCGTGGGCAGTCCTGTAATGCATGGATACTTACAGTTTCCACAGCGTCATGCATGGATTAGTACTGCCTAAGATGGCTATTTTCCTCAAGTGCGATCAATATTGTGCAATTTTTACAGGGAGAGTTCATTGTCCGGGGCAGGGCCGGGTCTTGCCAACCTCCTCTGAATCTGGATGCCTTGTATAAGTTCAAAACTTGGATAAAATTCTAGAAAAATGACTCCGAATCACAATTCATTTTGGTTCTAGATCGGAACTTCCCTCTTCGCCTTTCAGAGAGAGAGAGAGAGAGAGAGAGAGAGAGAGAGATTGAACGGCGAGACCGTGGAGAGAGAGTCTGCCTCGTTCCAAGACGATCTGAAGATTATAATTTGGAAGGAAAAGCGTGGACTAAACTTTTGGACCTAGGGCAAGGAAAAAAGTATCTATTTCAGACTGAGGCTCGGCTTACTTGGTCCATCGACCGGCCTAATTTCCTTTGTGCTGATGGAGAAAGCTTGCGGCTTAGTAAAGTTGTCGTGGAGAAATCCCCACATGGACATGGCGACATCTTAGAGTCAAGGGTAGGCTGATAAAGAGATATAGCGCCACGAGGGAACCATATCTTTGGTCTCGATCTGGGTAATCATGGCGACTTCAGGGGTGTGCCCTGAAGTCGCCAAACGGGCATCTGGCGGCACCACTGAGGTTGAAGACGGCCGTCTACTCCGACGAGGATCGCATTGGTCAACGAAGCCGCAACTTCTCCTGTCATATAGCAGACGGCTCCCCTATCAACGGAGAGTGCGTGCGACTTCCGGTGGCATCTTGTTGAAGAAGTTCCAGCTGCCGGAGTATCGAGAGCCCGCAAAGTCTCCCCCTCCCCCCGGTAGTGCGGGACGACCAGGCTCTGCATAACGCCGATCTACACCCGGAGATGACCCATTTCGTACGTATCCCGGGTGAAGCTCCTTCGGACGCGTGTTGTCGGCCGCTGTCCTTCCTTCCTTCCTCCCTCCCCCTACGGTGGTTCCTGGACAGATATGGGTTTTCCAGTGTCGGCTAGGCACCGTAACTGGGGTTAGATTTTGCCGCGGGGGAAGTAGCCGCCCAGAGCCGAGCATTTGAATTTCCTAGAATTCACAACCCCGACAACGAGGGTCAGGCCGGCTGTGCGTTTTGCTGCAGGCGGTGAGCAAATCCTAGCTCTCGGCAGCTCCCAAGTCTCAGTTCATGCGGCCGTCACTGGAGAGCTCGGCCAACCGCAGAGAGGTCAGGGAGAAATTGTTAACCTTTGGCGTCTCTATCCACGACTATTCCAGCAAGTCCACAAATTTCATAAAATGGTCCCCAAACTAATGCAACGAGAACTATATATCCAATAAATACGGTCGATCATGCTCCTTGAAACCGAGGTAAAGGTGGGTTTATCTGATCTCATGTTCATAGATATTATTGAAGTGGGAAATAACGGGTCTCATAATTTGCTAAAACGGGTCCTCTGTAGGCCCTGAGAACTTATGCCGAAGATGAATGAATTATAAGCACACCATGAACGAAGCATATGACTTTCGCTTTTTGTTGCACCCTGAGTACACCGAATTTAGTTCATCGTCACTTCTTATATTTTTACACCAACCATAGCGTTGGACCACGTACAGGCACCAACACCTTACTCGTAGTAGTAGCTTATCACACACAAACCAAGTCTGTAAGAACGGAGCTGTAGACTTGGACGTTTCAGGGGAAGGAGGGATCTCCTCGTTTCATGTCTACCTCAACAACGTCGAGAGCCAAGGCTTTGCCGTGCTGCTTCCAGTAGTCCGATCTAGGGTTTATCCACTCGGGCTCCTCCATCTCCGTCCTCGACTGCTTGAGCTCGTCGCTGGAGACCCGGTACCTATCGTCGCGGCTCCTCACCAGCTCCTGCCGCACTCGGCCCCGAGGCACGCCCTGCGGCGCCACCATGAGCGCCGGGGCTCCCAGCGGCAGCCGGTCCCCTCTATCGACCTGCCAGGTGCACCAGAACTTGCCGTAGCTCTTGCTCAGCCCCTTCAACTCCGGCTTGCTCAGTGCCTCCGGCACCCTCGGGCAGACCCACATCCCCGACTTGATCTCGTACGCGTGGGAGTGCCACAGCTTCTTCTCCTCCTCCGGTAGCCCCTCGAAGATCCCCTCCGACACCATGTACTCCACCCCTGCAACCCCCCACGGCGGTCACAGAGAGAAAGAGATCGAGAGAGAGAGAGAGAGAGGGAAGGAGGGAAGGGGGATTGACCAATGAGGCGGGCGGAGGGGAGGTCGGAGTCGTAGACGGCGCACTGGAGGAGGTCCTCGTTGAGACGGGAGAGGAAGAGGTGGGCTTCGATCTGGCGGGAGAGGTCGTGAGCGTAGAGGGAGAAGGTGCAGACGTGTTGCTGGAAATGGCGGATAGGCTTCATGGTCTGCACCACCTGCGCCCCCATGTCCAGCGCCGCCGAGCCCGCCGTCGTCTTTTTCCCCGGCGGCACAGCCCCTTCTCCGTCCCTCATCGGACTCGGCTTCGGCTCCTTGTCGCTGGAAGCCATCGTCTCTCTCTCACTCTCTCTTGCTCGCTGGCTGGCTCGCTCTTCCTCCCTCCCTCTCTCTCTCTCGCAGGGAGTTGGATCGTTCTCTGGCAGTGCGCTATGTTTGATGATGGACGGAGGTGGTGAGCTGGGCTGCAGCGCTACGTGGCGGCGAAAGGGTGTCACACCTGGCAGGCACGTGTCTGTAACAGCACGCCATGTGTCGATTTCTTCGCTCGTTATAGATGGACGGTTCAAAAATATTTTTCCGTGAAAAAAATATTCTAGAGGGGAAAATATCTGTTTATAGATGTTTCCTGAGACATAATTTATTTCCATAATATTAGATTATACGTATGATATTATATTTAGGGATTTAAAAGTTTAATAATTTATCGCGCGGGAATAGTTCATTTATTATGCTGCGCATCGAAAGGGCGAGCTGTACGCGACCGCTTGCTGAGCTTCTTCAGGAAGTAATCCCGCGGAAGTCAAAATGGCGTTTTCCACGATCGCCACCGTCGTCCAACCCCGCGCCGCCATTGCCGCACCATTTCTTCCCAGGCTCCCCGGAAATCTGAAACGCGTCGGTGTTAGATCCCTTCCGAGACGCAGGATGGCGCCTCTTAGGGCCGCGGCGGCCTCGCTCCCGGACCTGACGGTGCTGCGGGGAGCCCTTGTAGATCTGATCGGGACCTCGCCTCCGACGTGGAGATCCGCGGTCTTTAGCAACCTTCTCATCTTTATGGTAGGTTCCCCGCTCCTTCTGGCCGGGTTGAGCGGATCGGGAATTGTGGCGGCTTTTCTTCTGGGCACTCTGACCTGGAGAGCTTTCGGGGCGTCGGGCTTCCTTCTCGTCGCTACCTATTTCGTCATCGTAAGTGCCGTTTATTCGAGCCTAATTTTTCGTTTGGATCCTGAGCATTAGCCTGTAAGGTGTTTCGATAATTTCCTTCCTGTTGATTTTGTTTTCTTGTTTATTATTAAATAGTGCGCAAAGCGGATCCTTCCTTTTTTGCATTTCTACTTTTTTATATAAAAAACTATTATTCTGGAATTGGGACTGTCTTGGTCATAGCAGTTCTTTCGACTTTTCTTGTTCGGAGTGCACAATTTGCTCCCTTGCAACGACATCGTAATCACTATCAACGTCCTGGAAGAAGATATTTCTTCCCTGTTCAATTGCGGGGAATATCGCAGATTATAAACCATATTTTTGCATTGAGGATCGAGAGAGAATGAAAGGTAAGCAGTGTAGGCAATGAAGGCTATTGGGGTTTAAAAACTTGTTGCTCCTCCATATTGAGCAATTCTAAAAATATAAAATTTTTGAATACGAAAGTATCCTCCTCTGGCCACTGTTTCACTTCAGTTTTATTGGATTAAAATTCGGAGGCATGCACATCAATATCCAGAATTATTTTCATATCGAAAATGCATCTTTTCCGTTTCTCAGGTCATGTATTATTCGGGAGAAGACTAGTTTTTGTCTTGTTGCCTGTTCTTTAGTTTTGCTGAAATATGAAACAAGGAAATTGAAGTATGCTTTTTCTTCATTATAATTTTCCGTAAATTGCTTTAGAGATGGAATTTAGTATTAGCGATGTTAGATTGTTAATTTTTTAGTATTAGAGACGTCTGAAGTAGCAAGCATGGCAATAGAGATGGAAGAAGACAACCATTCATTGAACAAATTTGAGGAAGTGAAGATGCTTACGTTGTCTACTCTGTCATTTATTCATTTATTTTTCTCTGTTATTGTCATGAATATCAAATCATCTTTCCTGGGATTAGACTAGAGTTTTCTTCTTCTGCAGCTTATTAATGACGCCATTTATGTTTTTACTTCTCTTCACCTCACTTTGAAGCGGTTGCGTTCAAAAATATACTGATCCCGTTCTTTGTTCTAGAAGAGTTATACTTTCTTGAATCGCCTCTAATGATATTATCTGATTTTTGAACCTACAAATTGAAGGGCACTGGTGCCACAAAGTTGAAGATTGCACAGAAGGAAGCCTTAGGAGTGGCTGAGAAGAGGGGAGGAAGACGAGGGCCAGGAAGTGTGATAGGTTCCAGTGCCGCAGCCTGCGTTTGCGCACTTCTTTCAATATATGGGGCCGGAGGAGTTGACTTCAGGAGCCTCTGGCAACTTGGTTTTGTCTCGAGTTTCTGTACAAAACTGAGTGATACCGTTTCCAGCGAGATTGGAAAAGCATATGGACAAACGACGTAAGTGGACCTTTTATGACGTTATTTTATGATAAAGCTATTGCCAATGACTTCAACGTCTATTATAAATGAAATGAATGATTGAAAGATTAGGAGATTCAGCTTAGGATACTTGACGTGGTACCCTGTTTCTTTTTATAGCGATAACATATTTTTAGTCATCCTTTTTAGGTTTATGAGTGCCTTGCTGCTCCCCTCACCCCCCCTCCCCCAAAAATAAAAATAAAAATAAAAATGGAAAAAGGAGAAAAGGAAGTAAAACTTGATTAAATTTTTCTCTCTTAATCTTTTGTACTGGTCCATGAGCAGGTACCTGATTACAAATTTTAAGACAGTCCCTAGAGGTACGGAAGGAGCAGTCAGTGTGGAGGGAACTGTTGCAGGACTTCTAGCTTCAGTATTTCTTGCTGCAGCTGCTTATTCCTTGGGAAATGTATGCCTTGCACTCGAATCGATCTTTTTTCTCCCACGTTTAATGCTCCATTCACTTGGAATCCTTCCTGTGAATTTTTTCAGGGGGGAGAATAAAATGGAGAAACAGCAATTAAATTGACTTCTTAACTCATATCAGTTCATGTTTCATCTTAAAACCATTGTATTGCTATTTTTACAGAAAATGCACCTTGGACTCGATGCTTCCATTCTAGTAGACTATGCCCAACTTATTGGAATCAGATCAGCTTTCTATGAGCCAGATTGCTGGTACAAATTACAATTCACCGAAATGCATGGTTGCAGCGGGTCTATATTTGTTTAAAATAGTTATCCATAGGCTCGTTCAAATTGGAGCCAAGGATTTTCAAACTGTTAAGTTTGTAACTAGTTGTCAAAATGTCTGTGTATTTCTATTTTTTTGTGCCCAATATGTAGGTTGCCATGCTAGTTATTGCGAGCATGAGCTTTCCATCTCCACGAGAAAACTGGAAGTCCTATCTGCATGAATGTAACCGTAGCATTGCTATTTTGACACCACATGTAAATCTGGAGGTCCAACATCATTGATTTCATAGCCAACTATCGGAGAACATATTTGCAGGCTTCACCATCTTCTATATCATCTCTCTGGTCGCTGATGATGTTGCCCATGTAATTGTTCGAAAATTTTTAAATTCTCTCCCATTAATAATGAAACGGTTTTGCTCTTTTTCTTTTTGGGATCCCATTGTTGCTTGGAAATGCTGCTTATGCCGCTTGTTTCCAGCTCCTCTGGAAAGGGGCACTGATGCCGGCAATCCTCTTCTGTGATGTAGATAGTTGCACCTGAGGCTGTCATCTGTGTCATAGCTTCTCAGCTGGCGAATGTTGGGGAAAGCATTATTGGTGCTTCTCTACAGGACAAGGATGGCTTTCGATGGGTAAGCTGACCTCTGACACCTGCTGGCTAAATGGTTCCAGTGTCGTCATCAGCAGTGTTCTTCATTACTCGTCCTGTTTTCCATGGGTATATTTCTATTTTCTCATTAAAAGCAAGCCACCCCCTGGATTCAGCTAACGTTTCCTTCTAATGAAGCATCGGATAGTGTTCTTACACACAATCATATGGTTTCTTCTCCTAAATCCTTGGAACTATGTCGATTAAAGTCAACCCATCTGCCCTTTTTTTTCCCCCCCATCTTGCAGCTCAATAATGACGCTGTCAACGTCATCAACATCTCCCTCGGCAGCATCTTGGCGGTTCTTATGCAGCAAGTGATTCTACAGAAGTAGCTGGCGACCCCTAGTCAACGTTATTGACTCCCCCCCACCCCACCTTCCTGTTCTTGGGGGTCAACCCTTCTTCTTCGACTGCTCAAGTACCCCCGGGGAGCTTCGGTGAAACCTTGCATTGAGGCTGGCCATGGGAATCATTTGGGAAGCAGAGGAATGTCGATCTTGTTGAGATGGCTTCCGCAGCCGAAAGATGGTCGCTTTTTTCACCCTCTGCGAAGGCTGTTTCGAACAGTAGGGGATCGGTCTTCACGTGGGTAGAGGGCCCCACCTATTTTTGTCGCCACAGGGCTCACGGGGGGGAGGGCCCACTCCTAGGTCGTACCCCAAAAGTCGTAGGTCGGTAGGTTTGCGAAGGCACGTGGGCGGACTCTACCATCTATTAGTAGCGTTTACAGTCACCTCACTCTTCACAGCAGTCCACTTGCATGCATCCCTCCAAGTTCGTAGCATAAACGTTCGAATCCCATTTGAGAGAACTGGGATATTAATTAAGTAAACAAATCACGTGAGTCACGTGATTTGGTCATTACTTGTAAATACACTGTTTTTATTGTCGCCATTTCTTTTTTTTTTACGACAATCCGAGTACACTAGTAGCGTTAATAATAATAATAATAAGAATAATAATAAGAATAATAATAAGAATAATAAGAATAATAAGAAGGAGAAGGTATGTATGTGCGGTGGTGATGAATATTCGCTGGGCGGCGCCGGAAAACGAAGGGTGGGTTCTGTGGGTGGATAAAAACTATGAGATCGGCTCTGGCTTTTGTCGCCTGAGCATGATCTGCTTCGAGAGATGTTATTATTCAGGACAGAATAGTGACGACTGCTGCGTCAGTCAAGGCGCGACCTCCTAGCCCCTTGGTCAGGCTTGACTCGACGTTGATTCGCCTCTCACCTCCCACTCTCTCTCTCTCGCTCTAAACACTCCCTCTCCGGCGCCGGCCCCCACTGCTGTTCCGCTCCGCTTTATATATCACGGAGAGTGGGCGTGGCCTCGACGGCTCTCTTCCTTCTTCTCTCCCGGAGGGGACTCGATGACGATCATCTCCGCCGCCGTCGTCGGGGCCTGCTCGTGCTTCCTGCTCCTCGCGCTCTCCTCCGCCTGCGTCTCTCGGGCCGCGGCGGCGGCGCCTGGTTGTGAGAGACGGCGGACGGCGGAGGGGACGACGGCGGGCATGGAGGACGCTGAGAGGGAGACCCTGTTCCTGGTTATGGAGGCGGTGTCCTCCGATAGGGACTGGCGAGTCTCCAACCCGGACCCGTGTGCACCAGGTTCTTCATGGCCTGGCATTGAATGCACAGGGGGGGAGGACGGTCGGTTCCATGTCACGAGGCTCGACTTTGGAACGCCTCTCAACCCGACCTGTAAGAAGGCCGCCACCTTCCCCTCTCGGATCTTCTCTCTCCCTTATCTCCAGTCGGCTTTCTTCTTCGACTGCTTCAGGAGCCACAACACCAGTCTCTCCATCCCGCCGGTGCTCACCACCGCCCTGCAGCAGCTGAGCCTCAAATCGAACCCGGCCCTCACCGGGTCCATCCCTCCGCAGATCTCCTCCCTGAGGTCTCTGCAAGTCCTCACCTTGTCTCAGAACCGCCTCCAGGGGAGCATACCGGAGAGCATCTCCAGCTTGACCTCCCTCGTGCACCTTGATCTCAGCTACAATTCGCTCTCTGGGCTGATCCCGAGCGAGCTGATGAGCGGCCTCAGGAACCTCGCAGGGCTCGACCTCAGCTACAATTCTCTGTCGGGGCCCATCCCCGCGTCGATCGGAAAGATGGGCTCCCTCCAGAAGCTCGATCTGAGCTCCAATTCCTTGACCGGAGCCATCCCGGACAGCTTGCAGAACCTGGGTGCCCTCTCTTTCGTGGCCCTAAGCAGCAACAAGCTCAAAGGCCCGCTGCCCGCGGGCTTGCCCAAGCTGGGCAACCTCCAGTACTTCATAATGGACGACAATCCCATGGCCATCGAGCTTCCCTCCCAGCTGGGCAGGCTGGAGAAGCTTCAGGAGCTGAGGCTGGCCAACTCTGGCTACTGGGGACCCATCCCGGAGACCTTCTCCCGGCTGGCCAACCTCACCACCCTCTCCCTGCAGAACAACCGCCTCACGGGGTCCATCCCCCCCGGCCTCGGCGACCTCCGGCGGATGTACCACCTGAACCTGAGCAGAAACATGCTGCGTGGCGTCGTCCCCTTCGACGCCGCCTTCCTCCGGCGGCTAGGGAGGAACCTGGACCTGAGCGAGAACGCAGGCCTCTGTGTGAACAGCTCGGTCGACACGGAGAGCACTAAGCTCGGCGTGGGGATGTGCGGAGGAGACAGCCATCAGAACACCTCCACCATGCTGCAGCAGCAGCAGCAGCAGCAGCAGACCACAAGCGGCGCCGGCGGGGGCGCCGGCCCGCCGGTCCTCCTACCGGCCATGTGGGGGCTCTGCCGGCTACTACTGTTTTAGATGGCCACGCTCCTCGGCAGGCTGCTCTCCTGCGCCAGCGACGACCTAATGACCCCCTCGCCGCCCCCACCCAGTTCATCATTTATCGAGTTAAATCCCACTTTCTCCCGCATCCCGACCAGTAGAAAGTTATTAAGAACTCACCTTAAAAAAATAATTTTTATCGCATCTTCAGTGGACAAATACGATCGCGGTGAGTTACTCCAGGGGGGGAAACATTAATGGAAAATGTACGCGACTGCTGAAGTGGGACCGATAATCTGTGGAGCCTATGGGGGCCGTACGGTCATTATGAACCATGTCCGACCAGTCTCTTCATCACGGACGGACGAGTGGTGGTGCAGTCCAGCGCGCTGCTCCCCACCCCCGGGGCAAGAAGTCATCTTTTCTGCCAGGAGTCAATGGACGGGAGCCCGAGCCCCCACCACACTTGTCTGGCTGGCGAGCGATCACCTTCATCCACGGGGCGGCGAGGGGAGGAGAAGGCCCAGGTCCTAGTCCAGGCCCAGCTCAAGAATGGGCCTTGGTCGATCAGCCTGGGTTCGTCGGGGGCTTCCGTTGTTACGGGCAATAAATTTGTTTAGCATGTTTATTTGGGTATCCTTGGGCTCTGTATCGCGGACGCTGGTTTCCCCGGGTGCATGGCGTTGCGGTGGTGCCTGCGGGGTCTGGCGCTCGGAAGGGCGATAGGCTCGTCCTCTTCCCGGTTGCAACTTCAACAATCCACGAACAATGCCTTATTTTCCGCTCGTTCTCTTCCCCAGGCTCTCCAATGGTGGAGATCCCGTGCGGACGCCCCCCTGCCTCCTTCCTCTCCTCTCCCCCTGATCCATCTTCCTCCTCCGGATGAGAGCAAGCATCGTGGCTCTGCGGAGGGTGATCCCCTCACGTTTTCAGCTTTTTCATCCTCCATTGACGAGGTGGAGGTTGCCAAGTTCGCTGCCATTGCCGACACCTGGTGCGTGTGTCGTCTGTGCCCTTTTTGAATTCGGCTAATGTCATTTCCAGTTAGTTGACCTTTTGACGTCTGATTGCTGTTATAGTTGACGTGATCTTGTCACCGAATGAACAGGTGGGATTCCGAGGGGCCTTTTAAACCATTACATTCGATGAACCCTACAAGGCTGTCTTTCATCCGTTCCGCTCTTTGCCGGCATTTCGGGTATGTCTTGTCTTTTGCGACTCTCTCTCTCTCTCTCTCTTTCTCGGCCTCCCTTCGGATGGATATCTTATCGATCTCATTGTGCTGGTTCGGCTTAGGTTTCCTTTATTCAGTGACACTTATCCTAATCAAAGCCAGCAATCATCTTCGATGGGTGCTCATTAAAATTGGATAATTTCTGTTTTAATGACATTTTCAAACAACCCTGTGGATATGTCTAGCCTGATCGCCCTGCTGTAATTTTTTTTCCTGAATTTTTGTCGCCAGTGGTATCCATACTTATCGCCAAATTCTTTTTATAATGTTGCTACCATCCTTTTGATTTCTCCAAGGAGTTAAAAATGGAAGGTCCAAGATACTCGTAAGATTCAGCTAACACCCTACGGGCCTTTGTCAATCATTATAAACCCTCTATAAGGTTTCTTTCAGTGAAAGCATCATGTTGCAGTTTCCTTCCGATGGACCAAGTGCTGTTCTTTTTCCCCTGTAAATGCTAAACTCTTGACGTTATTTCAGGAGAGATCCAAATTGCGCTAAGCCATTGGAAGGTTTAAAGATAGTTGATGTTGGTTGCGGCGGAGGCATTCTCTCTGAGGTATACTTGGGTTTACATCCTTTTGAAGACAGAATCTTGGAATTATGATCATCTTTCCTTGGGATGCGTGGTGCTTAGTTGTGTTAACAATTTGATAAACGGGCTGTAAGGGTATATACCCCTTTGTCTGAAGAATTTTTTTTCAATTCTGATTGTCCAAATGGTCATATAGAATCAAGGCAAAAAAGTATCTGCGCATTTTCCACTCGAGAGTTTTCTTATGATGAGTTAAGGTTTAGATCTATTTTGCTGCTGCATATCTTACTTTGATCATTAAAAGACAGAAAATACCTAAATGGTGTTTAACTTAGAGGTCTGGAGTAACTATATATTTGAGTTTGATAGGTTGCTCAATTATCTCATTGCAGATGCTTGGTCTGTTGGATCAGTATATTTTTAATGCAAGGATTTATATGTAATCATAACTAAGACTGCTTACAATTATATACTTCCCGTGGTTATCCAAAAGGCTCAAGGATACCGTTCTGCTAATCATGTGACCCTAACTGTTGGTGGGATTGACCGAGTTTAGAAAATTTGAAGTGGAGAAGGCCATACATATTGTCTGTATTTGTAGTTTAGTTGGTTTATCAAGTTTCTTGTCTTTGGCCAAACCAAAAAGTCTCCCAAGATTGGAAATGACCTTCTCAATGGGAAAAAAATTGAGGTATAATGTTGATAACCTTGCTTTCTCTTTGGCACTTAATTACCACCAGGGACGTAGGGTAAATACAATCTTGAGGGTATATGTTTCATTTAAAAGTGCTCTTGAATTGGGTTGATGATATGTAATGATTTTTAAGTGTCTGAAGAGTGGCATGATGGGCTTATTTTTCTTGAAATATAAATACCATATTTTTCTTTAGATTCAAGCTACAGGCTACATCAAATTTATTTCCACAAGTTATATATTTACACTCAGTTGTTTAGTCTTGATTCACATTAACCTCCCATAAAGGTTGAAGGGACAATCAACAACCAGGATTTTTCAATTACAAGATCCCTGACCTGTTTATGTTTAGTTGATACGATGGGTTCATTTATATTTTGGAAATACAAAAGTCAATGTGAGATCGTTTTGAAAAATTGTTATACTGGATCCATGTATTTTTCCTATATTTTCTTCATTTGCCTCCAATACTCTAGCTCATCTAGTAACAAGGATTGATCTGCAAGTACCCCCAGCATTTTTTGGGTTCGCTATCATTTAATCCTACTGATATTTCTTGAAATAACTCTTTACTAGACATTTTAGATATATGATTGCACTGCTAACATATCTGTTTTTCTTACAGCCCCTGGCTCGAATGGGAGCAGTCGTTACAGGAATTGATGCCGTAGAGAAAAATATCAAGATAGCTAATCTTCATGCTGTACGATTATTCTAATCTTAGGTTATGGTTGTGCTTTCTTTTTTTAAATTCACAGCGTACAGAAAATATGGATAAAATCTTACATATGACTTTTTTGGTGCTCATGGGGTTTGGTTATTCAATACTTTGGTCTTGTCGAGTATAAAGGGCTTTGCTGTTTGTAGGTCTAGGATCATGTAAAATGGTGCGATGGTTCTGATGATGATTTGCTTTGCCTCACAGTTTGCATTAATGTCCTGTTTAAATGACAGAGTAGGAATAATAGGAGCATGTTAGGTGAGAGAATGTTGCCATGAGTGTCATGTGTACTAGCGATTTTTCGAGTGTGGCTAGTTCTTTTTTGTGTCAGCTGGTTCTTATCAATTTTAACGGGCATCTAAATTGACTTCTGTTCTTCAAGCTGTCATGCATCTTAGAATCAATTTTTCACCTTAGAAGATGTTGCTGTAGCTGTTGGGACCGCTGGGAATTGAATACAACTCAGTTTCTTGATACCTACCAACCCATCCAACATAATTCCTTTGATAATAATAGCGATATATCTTATCATAAAGGTGAAGCAGTCCCAATTGGGATGCGCTATAAATCCAATATATAGAGTCATATTTGATATATTTGATAAACCCAACTCAGTTTTTACTAATTTGATTCGTAAGTGTGTCATTCCTCCTTGGTCCTCGAAATCATCATGTGTATGTATATCAGATGGAAGTGAAATTTGTAGCCTTTAATGGTTGATTTTTTTATGAAGCATGTGGTCATCTGAGCAGTCACAATGTTCTTACTTTTGTCTCTTTACTACCGTTCTACAGTCTGGTCTCTGTATCTTTTCTTCTTGTTTAGGAAGAATGGGCATACATAGAAAAGAAGAAGAGACAGTCATTTTTATGTCCGTTGCTATTCTTATTTCATGTCCGCTCCCAATTAAAACGACATTAGGTCTTTGTTTGTGTGGCGAATTTATTTGTGCTTGATGTCTAGCCTTCTTGTGTGGGCTCTTTTACTGAAGTCTATTTTCGCACAGGAATTGGATCCTGTGACTTCTTCAATAGAATACCGTTGTGCAACAGCAGGTAATACTCTTTTGAACCTATGTAACTCCCAATTTGTGTTTACATTGATAGAGAGGTTGAGTGTGGACGTTACAGTCTAAGGCCACACAGATCACAGCAGGCTACCTGTGCTGTTGTCCATCTCGAAGGCATAGGGATTAGGCTTTGTGGTTTGACTTATGGCATTGCCCCTATTGATTTGTCTTGCTCGTCCTTGTGTGGTGTCATGCATCTTTTTAACCAGTACAGAAAATTTATTTGAAAGTAGGAACTTGGAGCTCTAATCGATGATAATGTAATGTTTTGGAACTCGACGCACCGTTTGTACCATGCTGTAAATAAATAAAAAATCAGGAACTATGAACGGGTAACTAAAGGATGATTAAAAATTAGGACCAGTATTGATATTAATTCGAACCATTAATTCGCAGTTTATTATGCTTTTCTCACGGTGTGGAGGAAGGAATAGCATAATGTACCCACTGAAACAAGAAGCCACCCTTTCCCTTAGCCTTCGCCTTTCATTTCTTTTATTCACATCAAACTTTAGACACCTTTGGAACGCAGAACTCTTGGGCCACGTCTCAATAAATTTTTCGAATGCTGTGTCCAGACAATGTGGTTGATTATATGAAAATGTTGGGAACGATTTGACAATCACTCGTAACTGCCCTTATGGAGCTCCTGCGAACCTCACAGCCGAGGCAATAAGTTACGAATGTATGATATACAGGCCTCTCGCCATATGACCCTTTCTCTTGGTCCCTTATCTGTGAGCGGCTCTCTGGCTGATTTTGTGTACCGTCAGAAAGAAATCTCCTTAATAAATGCCCTGGGTACACCGATTTGGCAACTAGGTCTCATAGAAAACAGAGTACTATTGTCGTTTTCTTTATAGATCTTTCTAGTACTATCATTTTGATTAGTTATTCTATAAAGAAAAATGTCGCAGCTTAATTGAATGCTATAATATTGATCAGAAAAAATGGCGGAAGAGGAGCAGACGTTCGATGCTGTGATTTCACTCGAGGTAGGGCATTGATAGGTGAGGAGCTTTTCTGTTCATCGCGTATGTTGACAAGATTCATGCTGCGGACTGACATATATAGAAAGCGGAAGTTTCTATATGCTGTCTTCTTTGCTTTTAGTTGACTCGATATATATATTCAGACGGCCATAATGAAGACGACATATTATCAAACTATGCAATCTATCCTGTCAAAGTGCTAAGTAATGAGCTAGTTGGAGCTGATGCACCTACATTTTCGTGTTTCAAGTGTTGAATGGTCGTTGCGGAGCCTAATCTAACCCAGATGCATGCCTCAACTCATTATCTTGTTCCATTTATTTGATATTCATGGTTGAGTTGGAGTTATATAGCATGGTTTATGATTTATTTAAATGGAGGAAAAGGTACCGTTACCTCACTATTGGCAACTTGTTATTAGCTGCCAGTGTAAGGACTCGACCCATAAACGTGGGAAGCTATATATTCCGATTTGGCAGATACTGATGCCATTGCGTCAATTGTTTTTCTTTACTGTTCAATAATCTGTCTACAAGATTGCCGTGTCCAATATATGTTTATTTTTCAACTGAGTGGCCAATCGTAGCAAGATTTGCACGAAACAGAGACCTTGTTCGGTTGTGAGGTGTCTCTAATGTAGTAGGAGCCGCGGCTTTTATTCTGATAAATCAACAAGTGAAACAAAAATAGTAGTGCAAAATTTTTGAATCCCATTAAATTACTGCTTTTCATGTCAATGTATCATTTATATTACCCCAATTCAAAAGTCACTTTGGTCGGTCAACGATTCCCCCCCATAAGCATCTGAATGAACCGAGGAACAGAATTCTGGCAATAAGAGTTATTTAAGATGGATCAAGGATCTCTCAAGAGAGCTATCCACTCGTTGTTTGATTGGATTTATTTATTTTTATGCGACCATTTGATGGATTTTGTAACATTATACTGGCAGTGAAACGAGAAAAGAATCAGGCATGAGCAAGGCGACAGATTTATCTTGAATCTGTGTAATTCTTAATTCCAGGTTATCGAGCATGTGTCAGATCCTGCTGGGTTTTGCAAATCATTGGGAGATCTGGCTGTGCCTGATGGGGCTATTGTCATATCTACAATTAATCGAACTATAAGATCATACGCCGTCACCATTGTTGCTGCTGAGTACATCCTTGGTTGGGTATGTATGAATGATCACTTGTAAATTAGAAATGCTTTCAGTGCGACTCCAAATGATGTAGAGATCTTGCATGCACATTTGCAAGAAGTTGCAAACGAAACCAAATGAATTATACATTCCTGTTTAGCATATATGTGCATGCATATCTTCCAATTGAATTCCACATGGGAGTTTTTGAATCGTTGTCTGCTAGGTTGACTTGACATTTTTTCTGAATGAAGTACCATTGATTAAATATCTAACAGAGGAAAAAAGGGTGACGAACAATCTGCTTCATGTGAACTTTCGGACCAAAGTTGAATATTTTATCTGCTAATGGCATTCCTATTTACTACTTAATATCATTCTGTCTTTGTTTGACTTCTCTGAGTTTGTAGCTACCAAAGGGCACACATCAGTGGTCTAGTTTCGTCACCCCAGAAGAACTCGTGCTCATCATGCAGAGGGCGTCGATCTCTGTAATGTTCATCTCCTTCCCCAACTCTTTCTCTTTAAGGAAAAAGAAAAAGAAAAAGAAAAATAAAAAGAAAAATCAGCATCACCCTTTTAATCTTGGTTGGGAATTATCGAACTAAAACCCCTTTTTTTTCTGTCTTTTTTCCACCAGGTGCAAGAAATGGCAGGGTTTGTGTACAATCCTCTGACAGGAGAATGGTCCTTATCAGATGATACGAGTGTCAACTATGTCGCTTGTGGCATAAAGAGGAACCCTTAGGCCGGCGCCATCGAAGGAACTCTTCTTTTTATAGCTGGAGATCTCTGAGGCAGCTCACATTTCAATGTCCCACAAGCGAATTATTCCATATTTGAATAAAAAGTATGCTTAAACTACCTTTAATGAGCAGTGGATGAACCATTAGCCAGCTGTTCTTCCTATCGTTCCCAGGGGAATAAATGGGCCGGGCTACGGCCCTCAATGAAACCGGGCAGCCCATCAAATGGGGGGGATGCACGTGGGCTTCAAGAGGGGAGAGTCCATTCTCAGAAAGGTCCTCTCTTGGAGAAGTGGATCGCGGTTATTTCTGCGTTATCTGTCGTAGTCATTGCTTTCTTTCTTTCTGCTCTGCGGTCGAATAATCTGATCCGAGCGCGAGTTACAGTCGTTCAGCTCCGGTGGCCTCATCCAGGACGAGGGTCGCCTTATCTGCTCGCAAGGGCATGCCCTGCCCGCTCCCCAGCTCACCCATTTCAAGCGTGGCCTGAGCTGCTCTCGAAGCGGAGGGTGCCCGCGAAGAGGACTCCACCAGGGGCCATGGCTGCGATGCTCCCGTCGACGTCCTCGTCCATCCCCGCTTCTTCCACCCCCAAAATGGCTTCCCTCTCCGCCCACCGGAGCCCTTTCGTAGGGGTCTCGAGATTTCCTCTTGCGGCTACGGCGACGGTCCCGAAGTCTTCTTCCTCTCTCTCGGGTTCCTCGGTGCCCAAATACTCCGCCGTCGTCCGCTCCCAGGCGCAGAAGCAGGAACTGGATGCTGCGATTCCCAGGGAACAGCGGTGGATGTTCGACGAGTCAGAGATTAATGGACCTGTGAGCCCCGAAACCCTCCTCCCTCCTTCTCTATCGACGCACTATAGCTCTCGGTGACGAACTAGTTTCTCTAAATTCGCCGAGTACTACAGACAGACCGACCGCTGAGGCATTTCGCTTCCGCAAATAGGCACAGTAGTATCGTGCCGGCTGCAATGTATAGGTGAAAGCTGCAGGTCGCGCGGTTTGGAGCTTGCGGGCACAATTTGAAGTCTCGTGGCGTCGTTCGATCAAGCCCGAAAGATACCTAATCCTCCCCATGAACGATTTCCATGAATTTGCAAGCACCGTCTCCTTTATCGCCATAGCCCAGCCGCATTCTTACTTCTCCATAAAGGGGCGGGCCACATCTCGTGTTGTGGTTTCACCTTGTTGGCTCGGTCAAGGAGGGTTGCTCGTTCAATAAAATCATTGTGTGTGGGGAAGATGGTGGGCATCTCACCACCTTCTTGCCGCCTGAATCGTGAGCACACCAGTAAAATCTTTGTCTGTGAACAGATAAAATAATCCGGTTTCCTGGGCCTAAACAAGGAGCCGAATGGGGGGCTATACTGCATCATTGAACACATTCTGATCGATTTATTTCTTGGCATTTTATTTTTTAAAAATTTTTCCCATGAAAATTGAAGATTGGTAGGCACCATACGCTTATTTTTCGTTCCAATTACCTGCTTCTCGCATTGCCCTGTGATCTTTGTGATATGCATACCAAATGGCGATTCTGTACTTTGGATAAAGAATCCTCTTTTATGCAGGACATTTGGAATAAAACATGGTACCCGAAAGCTGCAGACCACGTGAACACAGAGAAAACCTGGTATGTAGTCGATGCGACTGACAAGATCCTCGGTAGGCTGGCTTCCACCATCGCAATTCATATACGAGGAAAGAACCTGGCGACTTACACGCCTAGCGTGGACATGGGGGCATATGTTATTGTGGTATGTCGGTCTGGCCTCCTAAATCTTGATGTCGTTCTCACAACCTATCTGCGTTGACATTTTGAATGAGGAAAATGGCTGAGATAATTTTAAAAAATGACAGCAATGCTACTTTGGGTTGGTTTCGAAAACATGGAAAAATCGATCCTTTCTTTGTGAGAATCAATTCAGAATGTGCTAATTATAAGCTATGGTTCTTGGGATCCAACTATAAGAGCTCCGTTCCTAAGAATAATTTGTTTTCATCCATCATGTTTGGTGCGGATTTCACCCTGTGGAGGTGTTGCGAAAGGTCTCATCTTGTTCATGGGAAACAACTCTTCACAGTCTCGTCACCTTGTATTGCCCTGCTCTTTGAAGGTCAACGCCGAGAAGGTGGCAGTCTCTGGTAAAAAGAGGACCCAGAAGCTCTACAGGAGGCATTCGGGCAGACCCGGAGGCATGACAGTGGAGACGTTTGACCAACTGCAGAACAGAATCCCCGAGAGAATAATTGAACACGCCGTCCGCGGGATGCTCCCCAAGGGCAGGGTGAGGCTTCGTATCTTCTCAGTTCTTATCTTTGCTTCACTTTTGTCGATGAAAAACGCCTTTGGATCGATTCCTATGAATTTGCTGCGCATTCGATCCGCGCCCTCTTGTGAGCCATTTGCTGTTCCTTCACTGTGCAGCTCGGCAGGGAGCTCTTCACCCACCTCAAGGTGTACGAGGGACCAGACCACCCACACGAGGCGCAGCAGCCCATTCCCCTTCCCATCAGGGACAAGAGAATTCAAGTCGAGAAGTAGGTCTGAACTCACCTGCGAGAGAATTTGCTGAATCTTTTTTCTTTTTCGTCGGAATTCGGGTCAAATATCTGTGATTAGGTCAAATGTAGGAAGAACACCAGTCTCGGATCTCATATTTTCTTTGTCCTCGAGTTACAGAAGAAAGGCTGATTTCTGGGGGGGGATTTAAATCCCTTCTTTTGTTCAAGAATTGATGCTTTCCAATGTTATATTTTCTTCGCTTTTCTTAAAGTGCTCGTTCTTTCACAGGTATAAATATTAGTTTGCTCATCATATTTTCCTCCAGCAAAACTATATGGTTAATTACGAAATGTTCAAGCATTTTAAATTTCTCTGATATTCTTAAAACCCTAAATCAAGGCCATCCGACGACGGAGGAAAAGAAACAGTGGGAGGCTTCTACTTAACCAAAGAAGTCAATGATATGTCGTTCTTGCACGGTCAACGTTTTGACTTGATTATTTAATATTCCGGCCTACATCATATTACGAGGAGAGTCTGTTCTCTTTCCCTCTCCAACAGGAAAATATACACTGAAAACCTAAAACGGGGGGTTTCATTTCTGCAAATACGAGGTATCGGAGCTTCGTCATCTTCGGCTTTCAGGCGAGAGACTCGTCTGGAGCTTTTGAAGCTCGCCCATATTCAGTGGAGTGAGTGGAGTCCGTGTAGGGTCCTTCCGATGACATGGTGGGGGTTTGACCCGTACCCTGCCAGAAGCTCCTCTGTCTTTTGACGACGGAAACGGAGGCGGCGCCTTCGGAGCTCAGGTCGGAGAGCAGGCTCTGGACGGAGGACCGGCCCTCCAGCAAGCTCACCACAGTTGACATGGTGGGTCTCAAAGTGGGAGCCGCATTGGCGCACAGCAGAGCCACGTTCAACATCAGCATCGCCTCTTCTTCAGCGTAGTTTGACCCGAGATCTGGGTCCACCAGCTCCAGCAAATTCCCCCTCTCTTGGAGGACGCAGGCCTGAAATAAGGTCCACAGAAGATGACGACGGCGACGAAGACGAAGAACAAGTTTGCCTCAGATCGATCCGACCGTCGAGAAGATAAATCTTAGTCAGTTACCCAGTCAAGAAGATAGACGAACTCCTCCTTGGGCCTGTAATTCGTGTTGCTCTTTCCGCTGACAATTTCCAGAGCGACTACTCCAAAGCTGTAGACATCTGCTTTCTCTGTCAGATACCCCCGCATCGCGTATTCAGGAGCCATGTAGCCTCTGCATATCATCCGGAAGAGGAAAATTGTGAGTTTCCAAGAGTTCCAAGGTGGAAATGGGAGAAAATGCAGACGGAAAGCTTACACAGTCCCTGCTATCCTAGTGCTGATGTGGGTGTGGCCCTCTTCATGCAGCTTGGCGAGCCCAAAGTCGGAGATCTTCGCGTTAAGATCCTTATCAAGCAGCACATTACTGGCCTTGATGTCCCTGTGGACGATCTTGAGGGTGGACTCTTCGTGGAGATACGTAAGGCCTCTCGCTATGCCGAGGCAGATCTTCTGCCTCATGGGCCAGTCGAGTTTCGGCCGCCACCGGGGATCTTGATTCATGAAAACCGTGGGGCAAACATTCAGCCCTATCTTCATCACCAGATGAGCTGTGATCGAGATAATCAAGTGATCGATTCTTCTTACCGAAAAGAGAGCGCGCGAGGCAGTTGTTCTCCATGTACTCGTATATAACCAGCAACTGGTTGCCCTCAGTACAGCATCCGTAGAGCTTCACGAGGTTAGGATGCTGCAATGCAGAGATCATCCCGATCTCGTTCACGAACTCGCGATTCCCTTGTCTGGACCTCGAAGAAAGCTGCTTCACAGCGATGACGGCGCCATCGGACAGCAAACCCTAGCAAAGTTCCCACGTAATGAAACTCGACGTCAGATTTTCTAGAATGTCGAGAAAAGTTTAGCATGAAACTTGGGAAGTATCACGCGGCCATGTAACATGAATGGAAGAACTTTTTGTCAGAAGAGCGTGATCACCTTGTAGACTGAACCGAAACCTCCTTCTCCAATCTTGTTCGCAGGATCAAAGTTCTTGGTCGCGATTTTAATCTGGTTCAAATTGAAGGATCCCGTCAATAGATCGAGGCCCTTCAGATCTGTGGAAGAGTTTGAACACAGTAATCAAAGACGAGCCGGGCACCGAAATCGTCGAAGTCTGAACGAGAAATGCATCTTCAATCTCTGAGAGTGGGGAAAAAAGTTGGGCATCCCAAGAAAATGAATGAAACCAGTCTGCGATTCTCCTGGAAATAAAAAAATACCGAAAAATAATTATCTGCATTAACAAGTGAAAAATTATCTCGTTCTACCCTTGTCAACGGCGCCTTTGCCTCCAAGGCATCCTTTCTTCCAGCAGACAGAAATCAGAACGAGGAAGACCAATGAAACTGAAGCTCCCACTAGAGCCTTTGCAAGCGTCTCCTTGGCTTTATTTTCCTGAGGAGGCGGAAAAGCTGACAAAGAAAAAAATAGAAACTCTCGTCCAGATCAACACTCTCCATATTTGTGGAATAAAATGAACAAACCCAGATCAAAAAGCATCATCTTGTGAGAATACAGCGGAGATTGATCAAACGATTCCTGTAAAGAAGCAAGTTCTGCGGCGCCACTAGAGGAAGAGGGAAAGTAGCCATCGGTCGTAGGACTCACTGGACTCAACGGATATGGCTGATATCAGAGGGCCATAGGTTCCTCTTCTAGGGATACCAGTCGTGCCTCTTCCCGCCCAGTAGAACTGGATCTTCAGAGAGTGATCTTCAACGGTGGCGTTGAACACCTTGATCACTGCTCTTCCCACTCCACCGGCCTCATCCTCGATATCGAAATCGTTCAGTACCATCTTGCCCTGAATTTAAATCGAGACCATAAATAAGGCGCACAGCTGAACCGAATCACGCTTAAGAGAGCTACCTGGATGAAGACGTTGAATCCGCGTCGTCCGAGGCTCGAAAACGTGTTGTCGTTCTTAAAGACTATCTCCGAGAAGTGGAGCTTCACACTGTAAATCCCGTTCTCCAGGCACAGACCGTAGTAAGTGAGGGAGAGCGGAGAGAGGCGGGCTCTGGTGTACAGCTCCGGGTTAACCATGGAGAGTGCGGAGGTGTTGGAGGCAATATACATGTCACTGTCCATGCCGTCGTCCATGAAGTTCCCCGAGCTGCTGAATGCCCAGTTCGTGCCTTGGTACAGCATGGAAGCGCCTTTTTTTTCTGTATCCCCTTCGTACTTTGTCCTGTTGATCATCACCTCTGAGCCGCCGCAGTTGATGTGCAGAGAAAGCTGATCTGTGAGGATGAGCAACGACGAAATTAGCTATGAGTAGCGAGAATCAAATGGAAACAAGATTGAGAAACTTGTGACATTTTTATTCACAGGAAGCCTGAGGACGTGCAATCTGACAACTGTTGGGCAGAATAGAAGCTTTCAGTATCTTAGCATCCACGTTGAGCTATCCCATCGTTTGGGGTTTTAGTGTACAAGTAATGTCAGGGTGGGTGAAATCAGAGTTTGGATTACGAAACGTTAATCCAAGAGTGCAACTTCACTCAGTGGGTTATTTTCTTTCGTTGTTCTAGTAGTATCTCTTAACTATCTCCAAGTAAACAACGTTTAGGTGATCTGAGTGGTGAGATACGGAGAAGATTTACGCGCATAAACAGCCGCCTTGGTGATATCTGGAAAGGGAAGTCAATATCGACCCAAAACTCACATTTATTTGAAGCACACGGGAAATTCCTCTTCAGGCATGGCTGAACTGATCTGTCAAATGCGCACCAAGACGTGATGAGCTTAATCACCATCCGTAGGCCAGAGGAAGTGATTTTATTTTTATCCACCCATTAAGATCACAATAAAATGGATTTAAAAAAATCTTACCTTTTATCCACAGTTCGCGAATAGCTTTCAACCGCATTACTGAAAACAGGAGAGAGAAAATAAATGGCTGAAGAGAAAGCCAACTGCATGGAGTCGAGTTAATATGCTTACACGTTTCCCCGAGGGCATTCATATGGACCCAAGCTTCCTAAAGTGAAGTTATTGAAAGAAATATCCCTGTGAAATCGAAGGGAAACGTCATCGATAACCCCACATCATGACAAAAGCAGAAATTCGCGCAGGCAGGAGGGAAATATATCCAATCAATGTCCGTAGGCTCATGCGAACCCTTTGGGGCCGGAAAGTTAAAGCGAAATGGGTTCTTCCATGAAATCATCAAAGGAATAACTTTACTGGAATAGTCGACAAGTTCGGCAATAACACAATTATTATCATAGCATCAAATTTGACCTATAAATGACCTTCCAAAACCTCGTGAAATGGATAATAAATTTCCGGAAGCTCTCACTTGAATTTTTTTTAAAAATTTGAACTCAAAATTCTCACCCATTTAGATTAAGTATGAGTTATTCTAAAAACTTTGAGGTCAGGTATCACCATCAGTCTCCGATCTTCTGAATATCGCTGGTAATTTGGGCATGCTTTTCTACATTTTCATGTTAGTCTCTAAGAAACATGAGGAGATTACGCCCCCCTCCACACCCCCGCCCCCAACTTAGATACCTCAAGATGGCAACTATCTTTTCTTCCAGATCATGGTTCTTCAAAGTAGGGCATTCTTGGAGATCAGAGAATGATCATAACCACCATACGATTAAAAATGATTAAATAATCCGTCCAATGCAATAAGAGTTTTTTCCACTGTTTTATAGCCCACCATTTGCTATTTCATTGGGAATCCTGTATGACTGACTATTTTTAGAAAAAACTGGAGATTTCAGACAATAATGTATTTATTTATTACACTAGCTACTTCGACTCTCACTTACTCTACTAGAATTTTGAATCCGCAGCCTGAAAAAAAATTATGTTTTTGGGAAAAAAGAATGTGTGCGTACGCAATGTCGTTTCTCTCCAGGATCCAGTCAGGTATCTCCCCAGTAATCATGTTTCCAGTCAGATATCTGGGCAAAAGACACGATGTCAACTCAATTATAGCAAGATGAAGTTTTCGAGATTCCGTAAAGTAAAATTTCCTTTACATGAAATCAACGTGTCCCAGCTGATTGAAGCCTCTTGGAATTTCCCCAGTTATCTTGTTGAAGCTGATGTCCCTGGGGAGAAAACAAAATACAGTAAATGAGTACGGTAAATAGTTATATGAACTTTATCTTCGAGGAATAAAATTTCTTTTGACACCCGTTTATAAAACGAATTGTAATATGAGAGGTCGTCGCTCACAAAGTTTTTAAGTACTTCATTTCTCCAATATATCCGGGAATGCTTCCATGGATTGAGCAGTTCCTCAGTATTCTGCGAGCACGGAAATTTTTTCTGAAACTTTTGAAAGATTGTAAACCCATATTCGCGGATTAATTGGCCCTTCAACGGATCCATTGAGACATCAAACTCTAGAGTCTCGGTGTAATATAAGCATAGAGTAATTTCAATCTGGTCGACTTACACTATCCTCAGTGATTCCATCTTGCTCAAATCGGGGAACCTTGATGGTCTTCCTTTCAAGTCGCTAATCCGCCTGATTTTTTAGCAATATAATTAAAATAATTAAAAATATTATCTGCCTGCGATGAAGAGAAAGTTGAGCATCCGGTGAGTCATACAGGTCTGCTAATCTTGTCAGTGTAGAGATGGCTGAAGGGATAGGTCCTTCCAGGGAAGATCCTTGCATGTGCCTGCGTGACGTTCAAAGGGAGAAATCAGACCTTTTTTGCGCCAATGGGTGAATATTTTAAAATGATTTTTCTGCTCGGATCTCCAAAGCTTACAGCTTCTCCAAGAGAGTCCATTTTCCAATGAATGCAGGTATCGCCCCAGAGAAACTGTTGTCTGATATTCTTCTGTTTGGGAGGGGGAGGATTGAGCAAGAAGGGTTCCGTGATTTAAAAAAGATAATCTGCAGGCTAATATCATCATTATTTATGTGAAACACATGGTCGGGGAGGGAGAGAGAGAGAGAGAGAGAGAGAGAGAGAGAGAGAGATTTTACTCACAGGTCCGCCAGATTGTTCATCCCGGCTAGTGTGGCCGGTAATTCTCCAGTAAAATAGTTGGAATTTATATTCCTGCGATTAGGATACAAAGTAGGGTGGTAAGGAGAGAGCATGCGAGAGAGTCACGGGGAAAACGTCATTATTCAGAAATCTTGAAAGCACAGGAAACAGGGGGAGGGAGAGACTAGAGTCTGGAGAATGGTTCCTACAGCTCAGCCAAATTAACGAGGTTGCCAAGTCCGCGCGGGATGACCCCAGAGAAGAGGTTCCCCTCCAAGCTCCTGCCATTCACGTCACGCTTAAGCTTCGTCTCTACCGATTATGACTTTGTATTCGGAGCTCTGAGAGAGAGAGCAAGAGAGAGAGAGAGAGAGAGAGAGAGAGAGAGAGAGAGAGAGAGAGAGGAGTACAGATTTCTCAAGGTGGTCATATTCGTCAGGACCTCCGGGAACGGCCCGGACATGCGGTTGCCCATAAGCGACCTGTCCAGATATCGCCGACATCATTAGCTGTAGTGCTTTCTCGATGCTATCGATTTAAATAATCTAGGAGGAACTCACAGGAACTCCAGACGCAGCGCAGCCCATTGCGGAGGAAGGGTCCCGCTCAGGAGGTTCCGGCTGAGGTCCCTGCCCACCAATCATTGGTTTTCTAAATAATTTAATCATAGTCGTTTTAGCAGCTACTGAACCACACCGACTTCGTGATTCCAATTATCAGAAACCCGACAGATCAGGCGAGCTCGACGTTGATGCACCGTATTATTCGGTAATTTTTCTTACAGCTTTCGGAGGAGGCGGAGTCGGGCGAACTCCGGCGGCAGCACCCCGGTCAGGTTCTGCCCTTTGAGCGACCTACGGGATCCACCGACAAACATAAGGGTTAGTGAGTGAGAAAGAGAGGGAGAGAGAAAGAGAGAGAGAGAGAGAGAGAGAGAGAGAGAGAGAGAGAGAGAGATAATGTGTGGCTATGGAAATAACTGGCGGATCTAGAGAGGACTGATAAGGTCAGAAAGAACTTTTGACCGAAGAGACGCGCTGGGAGTAGTGTGAGTTGGGTGGGTTCAAGAAAGCGCGTGGACTTTCTCCAGAACAGTGGCAGTGAAGAAGAAGCGTGTTCGAATAGGGGTTTAACGGAGTTGTGGGAGTGAAGTCCAGAGCTCAGAAAGCTGAGCCAATCAAAGCACCGAAGTTCTTCCTAGTTTCTCCCTTGGCTATGGAAACTAGAAATCTATCCGTTTCGATGAGCCAGCTCACTGGAAAGGAGGCTTTAGAAACTCACCAGGTAAAATCCAAGCTCGCAGACCATCGTGACTAAGAATGTGTGTGTGTGTGTGAGAGAGAGAGAGAGGATACATGGTGATGACGTGGCAAGCGGAGCTGTTGGAGGAGCAGTCGCAGATGACGGAGCTCTCAATGCGTTTGAGGGAACTGGAGACATTCCAGTTCCCTCGGCCGCTGCATGGATCAACGCCAAAGTCCCATTTCGTCTTCTTCAAACTCTTGGCAATCTGCTGAAGGGCATTCACTGCTTCCCCAACACCACCAAAGAAGAGAATACAAGAACATCCAAGAAAACTTCCTCAACATGTAAACGACTGTTCATCCAGATCCAGAAAAATATACCCCCATCGACAGGATGTTAGGGAGATTCGGTGTACCTTCGTATCTTGCCAGCTTGGGGGATCCAGCAGCGAGGACCCCCGCAGAATCTACGACGATGACGACGACGACGAAGAAGAAGAAGAAGAAGATGGCGGCTGCCACCTGACCTCTCCCTCTCTCCATCTCTCTTCCACCAGCTTGCTCCTTCCCACAGGAAGACTAACCTCCAAGGCTTCAAATATTCTTGTGCCCCTCCCTGCAGCAGCGACCGGCCAGGAGAGGAGCCTGCAACGTACGAAGCTTCCAGGACTAAAGATATTAGCTTCCGGCCGCAAAGGAAAGGGTATATTAGGGTATATTGGGAGGGTAGGTGGAAATAACAAGCTCGGCGGCCCCAGTGAGACTCGTGCGAAGACTTAGTGTCTCTGAGTCGAGTTAGTACGTCACTAAGCTGCAGATGGCAGGTCAACGTGATTCTACGTTCTCTACGTGTCTGATTCTTGTCGGCGGTAATGCTGGACCTCCCCTGGGTTCCTCTGGCTGCATGGATAATCCCCATGGGGGCCAGGAAGTTTTTCCTCGTACGATCTTTTGTAGTTGATTCCATCCGTGTTGAGAGAGAGAGAGGGAAAGAGCTCTCTCTCTCTCTCTCAGCAGACCAAAGAACACGGATCAACGCACGCATGAAAATATTTTTACTGGATTTTTGGTTTTGAATGAGCTATCTCACCTGCGTTCAACGTCTTATATTTTTTTTTTCCCGGTCCGCCGGCAGTTGTCACCAAAGCAAGTGACCGCTGGCCGAAAGAAATACCGCAGCGAAGAGGGCATGGTGATTGCCGACAACTCTCTCTCTCTCAAGACCACCAAAGAACGGGGGTCAACGCAAGCCTGAGCGATCTCACGCGCATTCAGCATCTTATAATATTAAAGGATAGCGGAAGACCGGAGAATCTTCCTCACAGATGAGTCCTCCCGTTCAGAACGAATACAGTTGCCGATTTGACTTGCAAAATTGTCTGGCCCCGGGACAACTGGCCCCAGCGGCTCTGACGCTAGATTTCGCGCCCCCATAAATCCTTTTGAAAAAAGCATCCATCCTTGTCCTCACTGAGGCCTGGATACTCTCACCGACACTGATCATCCAGAAGCCCACAGAATGTCTCGAATGATCACATCGTTTGCTATTAGTCTCTGTATTAGGCCGTTAACGAGCAACGTCAACGTAGTCGTCGAAGCTATATATTATCCTTTTCTGGAGGATCTATACGAGAAGTCAACACTGCCGGCGTCGTTTGATAAGGGGAGTTCGGACCGGATCCGAACAATTTTCTCGCTGATGCTCATTTTGGACCAAAACGAAGGAAACCGGCCGGGATTACCCAGCCCATCGGGATCCCTGGGAAGCTTTATTGTTCCCAATCTCTTCAAGCACATGACAAGCGATGAGATGCATCGCAGACCCTCCTACGGTCAACGGGCCCCCAGAACACTTTCCTTTTCGAGGGTTCTTACTCACAACACAGTTCTTCTATAAGCTTTTTCGGAGAGTATCTTCTTCCCCGTGATCTGGGTATCATAAAGACCGAATCTTTATTGCTGCTGCTGGTGATCTGAATTGGAAGGGCCCACTCTGCTGCTCGGGGCGGATGATGAGACGGCCCACGGCTCTTCCATGGACATGCTCTGACTCTGACCATCTTGAGAGAGCCTCTCGAAGGACCTGAACCTCATCTCCTCGCTTGGTGTTCGGTGGAGCCTCATGGTGGGGACCTGAATGGGCGTGTGGCCCTCGAGCATGCTGACCACAGTGGACATGGGGGGCCGAAGGGTCGGGGAAGGGTTGGTGCAGACGAGGGCCAGGTTCAGCATCTGCTGCGCTTCCTCGGTGGAGAAGTTGGTGCCCAGGGCGGGGTCCACCAGCTCGAGGAGGGTCCCCTTCTCTTGCAGGACGTAGGCCTGAGATTTCAGAAGAAGACTGAGCTTTTTCCATAGAACAAGAAGATGTGAAGCTTAATGTGGTAAGGAACTCGAATAAATTAGAGGACCATGGTTTCAAACGGTGTTATTGAATGAAAAAGAGGACCGAACACGAAGAGGACGAAGCATAAAAATCTTGAGGGCACATTCTGTACTCTTTTTGGGGAAAAAACCTGTTCAGTCGGGATAGAGAGTCTTTGGAAGGCATCTACAATCCCACCATTTCATCAGAGAATCAAGGGGAAAGGTAAAACCAGAACGGAGTGATATGACTAAGTAAATCTGATAAGAAAAAACATCAAGTTTCAGATTCATCAGAAGAAAGCGAGTCGGAGTTCTTAGACAGTAAGTCAACCCAACTCTCGGTTTCCAGGCTATGTTTATGTGCTAGGTAGGCCCTAAGTGTACCATCCCTGCCAGAAAGATTGAAACACTCACAGATCGTCCACCAGAGGTTGATCCGGCTAACTAACACTGCTCTCTTTTTTCATCGATAGATATTCAAGAATACATTGCATAAGATTCAAACCGCATGAAGGATTGCATACCCAATCGAGAAGATAGAAGTAGTCCTCCTTGGGCCGATAATGAGCATTGCTCTTGCCACTAACGATCTCCAGTGCAACCACTCCAAAGCTATAGACGTCTGCTTTGTATGTCAGGTAGCCCCTCATCGCATATTCTGGAGCCATGTATCCCCTGCCGAAGAATTAGAAGAAGGTTTAAGAAACCCAAATGCTCAAGCGCCGTTATCCGTGCTGCCAGGATGTGCTGACGGTACCATGCCCACATTGGTTTCTTTCTTTTAATGCAAGGTAGAGCGAGGCACAGTGTCTCGCATCCATGATGTATCCACCATTCTCACTGTGATTGATGCTTGTACGTATGCTAAGATTTTGAATGAAACAGTTGAACCTCAAGACTTCATGGATCTTAAATGGCTAGAAACACATTCTCAGCTAACACCTAGGTCTTTCAGGTTACCAAAATCATCTTTAAAAGTAAGAGTTAATGAAAAGCACATGAAAACTTATTGGCATCAATTATCGTATACATGACACAGTTTCTAAATTCAGTTCCATCGTGATATCACTCTGGCTTCGATCTGTCATTAAAACCCACAAGAAGAGAAAAATATGACTCTTTATTTATATGCATGTCTGGAGAGTTAACTAAGCCATGAAAATTGGCAATACATGTTTAGTCAGAATGAGAACCATCAAACAACGGCCTATTACCATGAATACGGAATAGCTCAAGGAACTGATGTAACCTCAAATGAAAAGAATCAAAATATGTCACGGTTTGATGTAATTTCCGGTCTATTTTCACTTCTGGTAATCGGAAAATTCTAATAACATACCTAAAATTTAATACTTTGGATAGAGAGTTCGCTTACATGGTTCCTGCAATCCGGGTGCTGATGTGGGTATTGTCCTCCTCATCAAGCTTTGCCAGTCCGAAGTCTGATATCTTCGCATTCAGATCCTTATCAAGAAGGACATTCGTCGTTTTGATGTCTCTATGAACTATCTTTAGCCTCGACTCTTCGTGAAGGTAGGCCAAGCCCCTTGCTATTCCAATGCAAATTTTACGCCTCGTCTGCCAATCCAGTTCCAACTTCAACCCTTCCGGACCTGTCAACACCGTGACTGTTACATATACGACATACTACCAATCACTTCATATAATGTATCTAACCAAGAAAGTCCCAGAAAATAGCGGGCGCGATGTACAGGGAACGCAAAACCGTAAGATGGTTACCAAATAGGGCTCGGGCAAGGCTGTTATTCTCCATGTATTCGTATATTAGCAGCAACTGATTCCCTTCAATGCAGCACCCATAAAGTCTTACGAGGTGTGGGTGCTGTAGGCCTGATATCATGCCTATCTCAGTCACAAATTCCCGGTTTCCTTGCTTTGACTTGGACGAAAGTTGCTTCACCGCAATCATAGAACCATCCGGAAGAACCCCCTGAAAGTTTTCAACATGAGTACATCATTAGGCTACTAAAAGGGCAAAATTTCGGACATAACGTAAAACCGAATGAAGTCATGATTGTGGTTGACCTTGTAAACCGGACCGAATCCACCTTCACCAATTTTGTTATCAGGGTGGAAGTTCCTTGTGGCAGCTTTAATTTGCTTCAAACTGAAAGAGCCTGTTGGCAACTCCAGACCTTTCAACTCTGCTCAAAGAGAAACATAAGACAGAGACAGCACATGCCATCAGTGTGACAATCAGATACCCCGAATGATTATAATTTTTCAAAGGTAGATGTGGACTCCCGGTTGGAAGAAAGGCTTGGCAATCCCCTAGATGAGGCACCCAGATGGATGCTACAGAGACCCACCTTTCTACACTTAACCAGATACATGGTTGACTGAGTAGCATGAACATCCCAACCTACATTTCTGTTATCTCTACCTTAGGATTTTACCACCTTGCACTCATCAATGAAATACTATTCTTAAAACCACCCTTTAATCCCATAATGATATTATGGTTTATCTATTAGATAGTTCTGTTGACTGACAACAGTACCTCAGTCATACGCTACTAAGTGAAATAAACTCCTTAGACACCTACTTTTTGAACGAGATCTGGCTGTAATCAATAAAACTTCCATATATGGCTCATCCTTAAAGAATCTACGATGATATGTCAGAGAGAAAAATACGTGCAATGATTTTCGTGCATTTTTATTTTGAAACACGTTGACAAAATTTGTTGATCACACCAAGCTTTTTCTCTGTTTGGCGGGGTATGCATGGCACCCAGAGAAACTTAGATCAGTAACACTTTTGGATATGCATCTGTTCCAGAAAACAAGACTAACATTATCATAAGAAAGTTCCATTTAAAGATTTGACCCAATGTTTTTCAGAGTCACAAAGGTTTGTGGACTGAACATGATTACTTCGGTGCATACACATATATCATATATGCACATAATACATGAAAAAGTGGATTGGTAATCAAAATTATGACGTTATTTTCTCACCGTTCTTCTCAATTTCCTTTCTTCTAAGGAAAAACCATAGAAGGGCCAAAATTAGCAGCATCACTAACACAGTTGAAGCAATGACAATGCCAATGACAACACCAACAGGTAACTTATCGTCCTTGTCTTTCTCGGGTTCAAAATCTACACAGAAACAAATATTAGAATCAATCCAAGCGATGATTATGAATCAGGCGAGTACCTCCATATACATACTTGGTGTGACTCCAATTGCTGATATAAGGGGTCCGTATACACCTCTCTCTGGAATAGCATTCGTGCCTTTCCCAGACCACTCAAAATGGATCTCCAGAGTGCTAGCCTCTACGAGGGCAGTGAAATTCATAATAATTGCCTTACCAGTACCATTAGCTGCTTCTACGATGTTGAAGTCTCTTAGTACCTTTTCTCCCTGTAGCAATAAAAAGAATTATATTTAAGTAAAAATTATACAACGCATCTGAAGTAAAAGAATTAAATTTTTTAATGAAAAATAAAATATGAAATAACTTAATAATAAAAAGATACAGTTGAAGAGGGATTTTGTAATTCCTGTCAATTTACAACACTGAAACTACCTTTATCAGTAGCAGCAACAGAAAGAACCTAAGGCGCAACTGACATGAGAATAGGCATAAATGATAGCCTATGGCATCGGAATACCACAACATCAGATCAACAAATACGGATTTTTTTTCATGAAGATATCCAAAATAGTAGCACAGATATGAGTAAGGAACAATACGAAGCTATGCATTTTCATGAAGACTGTAAGTGCAAAGGACTCAAATGACCTGAATTGAGATATCAAACACACGTCTTCCAACACCAGCAAATGTCTGGTCATCAGTTAAAACTATTTCAGCAAAGTGGAGTCTGACAGTATAGTTTCCTTTCTGCAAGCACAAACCATAATATTTGAGAGAGAGAGGATTCAAACGAGCTGATGAGTACAGTGCTGCATTGGGCATCGTCAGCATTGATGTGTTTTCTGCCACGTATGGAGCCTTGCTTTCGCCAATAAAGTTTCCAGTACTACTACAAGCCCATTTTCCACTGTCAGCCCGCAAGAACTTTGATGCACCTCCAGATGATGTGTCTGCTTCATATTGAACACCATCAAGCACAACACTGCTTCCACCACAGTTTATAAAAATTTCATAGTCTGCAAGAATTGCAAAATCGAAGTATAGTCATTCATCCAAAACAACTTCCTGCTCACAAGTCAAACTTTCAAAATAAGAAGAATATTCTCCCTCCAACCTCACAACGGAAAAAGTAAACTGAAAATATATCGAAGGCATGACATGGAAATGACATATTATACCCACTTTTGGCTTTGCCATCACAGGGCAGGTCCCTCCTTAAGCATGAAGGTATCCTGCAAAAGAAAAATGAAGGCATCAAACGGTTTAAATCTTGGCATACATGTGCTGAGATGAAGTAATAGAATCAAAACAATATTTATTTAAATGATAACAGAAACTTACGAATTACTTTGTGTGGATGAAAAACTAGCTACGTAGTTCCTGCAAGTGAGATGAAGATTGTTTAATTCCAGGATAATACTTAAATAATAAAATATGGACAAACAAAGATTGTGCCCCAACCGTCTATCCTGATTGCAATCACTTGGTGCAGATTCGGTATTCGTGAAAGAATTGTAAGAAACATCCCTGAAAGAAAAACATTGCGACATGACGATGTTGATCTTCAGATAAGAATAAAATGCATTTCCAAAATAAACATGGAGTAGTAACGAATGATTTTCATGAGGTAAATCATACACATTTTCTTTGCTGCCCTTGATCCAAGTAGGCAGTGATCCATTAAGTTGGTTGCTGGTAAGGAACCTGAATGTGGAAAAAAATATCAAATATAAAATTTAATAAAATAAAATTAGCAAAATACTGTGCAGATTCCCTGGAATGAGTATGGGCATTCAAAGGAATGTCCATGGAGTAGGACGGAAAAGCATTGAATTAGTATTCACTCACAGATAATCTAAACTTTGTAGTTTTTCAAGGTCGTTTGGTATTTCGCCCGTTAAATTGTTAAAGCTCAGATCCCTGCAAGTATAATAAGTGGAAAAAAAACATAAAAAATCTAACCACGACTCATATGTCCAACGTTATTCACACTGTACACGTACATATAAAGGAGAAATATAAGCATGCGATATTCAGTTTAGTCCCAATGACCACGTTAGTAAACGCCCTGGGGAATATGAAGGACGAAGGCCCAGAAATATAGAATAAAAACAGATGAAAAACTATAAAGGAAAATCTAAACAGAATCCATTAATTTTCCGATAATAGTTTGAATAACAAAGTTATTGTGACTGTAAATCTTCAGGTAGCCCCCTGAATATATAGGATGGAATCCTATCTAAGCTGGACGCTTACATAGATATACATGTTATTGGCGATCATCATAAAAACTTTAGATACGTACACTTCAGAGTCTTCATTGCTTGTCACAGAATTTCAAGTTATCAATCGGTCTGTATTTGGACTATGTAATTGGTTCGAATCAAAGCCATATCAGGGAACCAAATCACCATGAAGAGAAGATAAGAATATTCATATCAGGCTGAGCATACTCTCTTTCAAGTAGCTAAAAAGATTATAAAAACAGCTATCTACAAAACAGTTGCCAAGGAAAATTATAAATTTAAATAGCTGTGTTATAAGAAACCTACAAGGCCTTTAAGCCAGTCATATTCCCGATGTAATCAGGGATCATCCCGGATATTGAGCAATTCCGGAGAACACTGCAGAATTTACCCCAAAAATATGTCACCTAAACTGAAAAGGATAATCGATTGGGCTAAAAAATACACGAACTGTACGCTTACTTACAGTTGTTGCATGCCTAGCATTTTCTCAAGGGGAGGGAAGCTACCATCTGACTTTTTTAGGTCAGAGACTCTCCTGCGGAATAAAGCCAACAAATATCTTATCCTTACAATGTATTACCCCAGATAGCTGTACTTAAGTAGAGAAACGGAAAAAAGCTAAACGTACAACTCAGCTATGCCTTCCAGTAATGAAAACTCTGGCGGAAAGGGACCCTCCATAGATGTGCCTTGCATGTCACTGCGACATTTGCGAAAGTATATATCATGGAAATGCCACACGGTCAAAGTATCCTTTCAAAATCATAAGCAGATATCGAAACAAGCAAATAAAGACAGCCAGTCATCCGAGGGACTAACAATCTCCGTAGCTTCGTCCAGTTCCCTATCCAGCTCGGTATCTTCCCAGATATCTCAGTGCCGTCGATCCTACTGCAAGAACACCATTGTACCCCCGTTATTACCCACTAGAACATCTTCGTCCAAATTTAAGAGCACCACAAATACAAGAGTTGCAGGCATACAAATCTGTCAAGTTCGTCAGCCTACTAAGTGCTTCTGGAAGCTCACCAGTGAAGTTGTTGGCAGAAAGAAAGCTGAAAAGAGAACATGCTCTGTCATTAACCATCCCACAAGTTGCAATCGTTCAACCAAACAGTCTCCATCCATTTTCTTAGATTCGCGTAAAGAAGAACAATTCGATTCATGAAGAACAATAGAAGAGAAACTAGAGACTTACAGTCTTTCTATGTTGATCAACTTTCCAAGTCCACGAGGAATCGGTCCTTGTATCATATTGTTCTCCAAGACACTTCAAAGAACGCACCAAACACAAATAAAAGTTCGTCGATGAACAACCATCACCAAGAAGCAATGCTGGACTGTGTAGAAATTATCTACTAGGAACAGGATATGAGGCACTACAGTGACTGAAGCGGTGTAATGTTCCCAATCTCCTCGGGAATGGCACCTGAGATTCGGTTCCCCAGAAGGGATCTGCAGTGGTACAGAACACGGATATCAGTTACATCTACTACCACATGGGCCGCAGAATAGCGGAGCTGAGTTTTCGTCAACGAGGGCGCCCAGTGATTTTACAGGTTTCGCAGAGGGAGCAAAGTCCAGTTGGCGGCAGGTAAGGACCCATCGATGTAGTTCCGAGACAGGTCACTGTTCGGTCCCGCAGATTCAGAGGATACAGAAATTGAGAGCGGAAATGTTCAGTTCCTCGAAGTACAGAAGAAATAATAGACAAACACTTCAATTCGGCGCAGCGAACGTACATGAAGAACAGGGAAGTGAGGTTGCCGAACTCCTCCGGCAGCACTCCCGTCAAATTGTACCCCTTGATCTCGCTGTGCACAATTTTTCCCGGACCAAAACGAATAAGCGATGCATAGGGTTAGAATGGACGATTCGAGAGTCATGCGAATGCGACTCGAGAAGGCGGAGGGGAAGATCAGTACATGCTGACGACATGGCAGACGTTGGTCGTCGCGTTGCAGTCGCAGGTGACGTTGTGGGAGAGGGCGCCTTTGGCTTCCCTCAACCAACGGAAGCAAGGGTTTACACTGAAGTTCCATAGCGTCGGCGGGATCTTCAGCTTCGTCGCTGCTTGCCTGAGCGCGTTGACTGCTCCCCCGCAACGCCCCGGAGGCAGGGAAGGAGAGAGAGTAATGCGAGGATCAACGCTTTAATTATGTTACTAATAATAAATTAAAAAATCTCCCATCAAAAGATCGCAGAAACGAATACAAGCCAGAGAAAACGAAATGCATATGATTTCCGCTTTCGAGGAGTTTACATCAGCGTTACCATTCGGACGAAAAAAATCTGAAAAAAATCGGGACACTTCTGCGCATTTATTGGTGGGAGCCTCGTCCACGTTCTATCTGAGGTAAGACGAGTGAAGGCGAAGGTGAAGGAGAAACTTATCGATCAAGCAAATAGATCAGCAGCAAGTAGGATCTCCACCGAGAGCCGCCTCTGATCTGGTTATCCATATAACTGATCTGGTCAGCCCAGCGTTCGTCTAATTATTGGCATCAACTGAAGACGCTGTTCACAAAGATGGCTCTCCGTAGCATTTTTAGATCAACCTCGCGAAAAGCCCCAACCACTGGTTAGCATCAATCTCTCCGTAGCACTTCTCATTCTAATCCCACTTCATCCACGCTCTCTCTCTCTCTCTCTCTCTCTCTCTCTCTCTCATCCCCCCCACACAAATTGTAAAGGAGCTGAGCATCACCGACGGAGACGGGGAAGCATTGGATGAATGTCGGCTGCGGAGAGAAGAAATCGCCGGCGGAGTGTCTCACCTTCTTCGCTGGGAAGGGTCTGCGCGTGGGATCCCAGGCCCTGGAGGAAGCAGCTCAGAGCCGCGGCATAGAGGAGGAGCAGCGCTGCTCGGTGGAGCCTCGGTGGCCGGAACACGGCCGGAGCAGGGGATCTCATCTCGCTTCACCCCTTGGTCAAAGCACAGCACGGGAGGGACGACCCAATGCAGAAAGTTCCGTATCCTAGAGACAGTCTGATCAGAGAAGATAGAGAGAGAGAGGACATAAAGCGAGAGAGAGAGAGAGAGAGAGAGAGACTGACTGAGAGACCTCGACGCGCTTAAAAAAACTTCTGTGTGCGTCTCTCTCTCTTCGGATTTCTGCGGCGCAGGTATTCAATGTCGCTGACCTGGGGGCGCCGGCGGCCGTTCAAACAAGCAGATGGCAATATCTTCTAGCCGCGGAAATGGCCGATCGGATGACGTCAATCTCTGACAGCTAAGACCGGTGGGTGGGTGGGTCAGAGGAGAGAGAAGGACATCCCGCGCTTACTTATCCCAAATGCATGGCATTAAAAGAAACAGCTTTGTCACCTTCCCATTGTTGTAGGTAGCATTGACGACGGAGACGGGCCAACTTGGTGGCAGACGTGGTAATTTACTGCGCCTTCTGTTTAGACCGTAGATAGACGTCTACGACTCTAGGGGGACCTCTTTTGACCAATTTGGATGTCATTGACTGATCTGGCGGCCACGTCTGACAAAATCTTTCCTCGAAAAAGTCGGCTAATCCACCTAACGTCAAAAAGCCTTACCGGTGAACTCAAACCTTTTATTCTCATGCAACTGGAATGCACGCCGCGGTGAGATTACCGGGACGAGTCGGGTCACCGTTTCGGTGGGCTAGATACCATCCGTAAGCAGATGTGCATGTACAACCTTCTTTTGGAAGAATCACCCACCCTCAGTCAGCGGGTACTTCCGACTGAGGGCCATGTGCAATACCCATAAAATATTCTCATAATAGATACCCTTGAGATTCTATCGATAGAATAAACGCTAAAGTCAAACCATCTCGCTAGAATACGCGGCTCGGTCAAAGTCTTCACGCCAGATCATCTCATCTAGATATCAAAGAAATGTTAGGTGGGTAGGAGGGGCGGCTGTAAACTCGTTCCATCTTTGCATCTCTCATACGACCTGCTCTCATTCTCGTGGTCAGATGAAATGCACATTAAGTCAGACCTTCATAAGCGTTGACCATCAAATGGTTAACTATAGAAATACGAGAGGAAAAGCTACTAATAGGTCAATGGTCCGGGAATTATTCCACCGCTCCGGGCTATTATTTCAAACGGGCTTTCAAGAATAGCTTTCCTAATTTGTGGTGGAGCGAGAGTGGTCGCCTTCTTTGCTGCTCTGCATGGACAAGGAGGAATCCGCCCACGGGCCGTCCGTTGACACTACCTGGCTTCGACCATCTTGAGAGAGCTTCTCAAAGGACCTGAACCTCTGCTCCATGCTCTCTGTGCGGGTGATCTTCATGGTGGGGACTTGAACGGGCGTGTGGCCCTCGAGCATGCTGACCACAGCGGACATGGCGGGCCGAAGGGTTGGGGAAGGATTGGTGCACACGAGGGCAAGGTTCAGCATCTGCTGCGCTTCCTCCAAGGAGAAGTCGGTGCCCAGGGCGGGGTCAACCAGATCGAGGAGGGAGCCCTGCTCCTGGAGCACATAGGCCTGAGAAAAAATATACAAACAAGATTAGCATGAAATATATATATATATATATCTATATATATATATATATATATATCACGATAGACGTGTATATATAATGGGTAAGTTAGTTAGTAGTCACAGGTTTTTCTCTTCTCTCTTCTTTTAATCTGAATTTGTTCAAGCTGGAGGAAGATCGCATACCCAATCAAGAAGGTAGATGAAGTCCTCTTTGGGGCGACAGTTGGCGTTACTCTTTCCGCTGACAATCTCCAATGTGACCACGCCAAAGCTGTAGACATCTGCCTTGTCTGTCAGGTAGCCCCTCATGGCGTATTCAGGAGCCATATAACCCCTGGAGGAAAACAAGGAAATGCCATCAAACCGAGTTGACCTTTTCCCTCTGCATCAAGAGCTACAGAGATGGAGTTATTGAATATGCTGATATTATTCTCAGATTGCCGCTGTACACGTCTGCTTTGGGGCCTCAGAATCTTCACAGGTCTTGAATGGCTAACAGACGGACTTACAAAGAATCCAGATCTCACAAAAAAATGGAAATGGGCAGTCGACCATCTTGGTCCCTCAAGTTACCAATGGCATCAGTTTATTGATATTAGATCAGATTCATCTGCATTCAAACACTCCGTGAAAATTTACTGCTTTCATTCTCTTTCGATTATAGTCGTGATCAGTCTCTGGATGCACATATTTATGTAAAATATACGTAAATCAGTCTTTAGTGATTTGGTCCCTTTGATCTAACTGGCTTACCTTCAACAGCGGACTAAATAATAATGGACAGAAGTAGATGCTGAGTAGCAACCATTTGATTTACACGAGCTTACAATGAAAGAAGGTTAGAGGGGTGATGGAGATATGGACCCGAGTTTAAGTGATAGCTGGCAGGAGGAAGACAATGGAGAAGGGATGGACAGAGAGAGACTTTCTGAGCTTTAAGGAGTAAAACAATGGCCCTAGGTAAAAGTCTCAAGAGCAGGAGATCCTTGTGTGTAGTCCTTTAACGACTTCTCCCAGGCTCACTTTAAAGCAACACCCAAGGAGATTAGAAAAAGGCATCATTAGGCAAAACGATACTGGAAATTCGGTAAAGATATCCATCACAGGTGTAATTGGCGTCAAACCATGGGGAAATCGAAGAAAATGCCAGGAGGGGTTTACATATGACCGTCTAATGGAGAAATTCCACAGCCAAAGGAGCTGTTGAATGAATATAATTTTCAAATGGAATAAAAAAAATGACTGCTTTTGACACCGGTCTCAGCTAAGCAAGCGTGATATGTTTGACATACATAGTCAGAGAATACCCCATACTGAATCAAGTGTCGATTCTCAAAAGAAGAAACTTCCTTATAGGGTAAAGACAAGTTCTATTAAAATGAATCTGATCTAATAGTCTAGAAGCCTATCATTTTATCATTATATTGAAAAAAGTCATCCATTAGAGAATATTTTATATCAGTATCTTTTAACAACAGATAGCACTTGCTGAGATGGGATCGCGGCTGTAGAAGAAAGAAGTCAATGATATGTCAGAGTACCAAACGTTGACGACTTAAACAAAGCCTTAATCAAGAAATGGCTTTCAAAGACAGGATCAGGTTCATTCTGTCGGTAAAAAGAAGTGATGCCTTCCTGTATCTAACTCATCCACATGACGATCATCAGTCCAACAAAAAAGCTAGGCACTGATCCTAGCCACAAAGAATGATTAATATCATTAAAAAGAAATTACTAAAATTATGGGACACTACAGTCAACAGTTCAAAATGTAAAAAGAGCTTCAACTCAAATTATTCAACTCAAAAAAAGATGTAAAATATATTATTTTGGATAGAGATTTTGCTCACTCACATGGTTCCTGCTATCCGGGTGCTGATATGGGTATTCTCCTCTTCGTCGAGTTTCGCCAGCCCGAAGTCTGATATCTTCGCGTTCAGATCTTTGTCAAGAAGAACATTCGTCGTTTTGATGTCTCTATGAACTATCTTTAGCCTCGACTCTTCGTGAAGGTAGGCCAAGCCCCTTGCTATTCCAATACAAATTTTACGCCTCGTTTGCCAATCCAGATTCAACCTTAACCCTTCGGGACCTATCAACATCGTGACTGTTACATTCACGCCTTACTGCAAGTCAATCCATGCAATAAATATAACCAATAAAATCCCAGAAAGTAGCGGCCCCAAAGTACTAGGAACGCGAAATCATAAGATGGTTACCAAATAGGGCTCGGGCAAGGCTGTTATTCTCCATGTATTCGTATATTAGCAGCAACTGATTTCCTTCAATGCAGCACCCAAAAAGTTTTACGAGGTTTGGATGCTGTAGGGCTGATATCATGCCTATCTCAGTCACAAACTCCCGATTTCCTTGCTTTGACTTGGACGAAAGCTGCTTCACGGCAATCATAGAGCCGTCCGGAAGAACCCCCTGAAAATTTTCAACGTGTGTGTATTATTAGGCCCTCAAACTTAGACGAGGACTGGGTTTTGGACAGAAAGCAAAACCAAGTGAAACGATGGCCACATGGTTGACCTTGTAAACCGGACCAAATCCACCTTCGCCAATCTTGTTTTCAGGGTCGAAGTTTCCCGTGGCAGCTTTAATTTGCTTCAAACTGAAAGAGCCAGTTGGCAAATTCAGACCTCTGAGCTCTGATAAAGGGAAAACATAAGAAAAAGCCACACAGTGATCAGTACAGTGAGGAAGGTGCACTAAACAACCATGATGAATAGCTGCCGATTAGTTTGATTGTTTGCTCTCTGCAGTTATAAAGGTTACGAAATCAGAACTCTTAAGTTTCTTAGTCAGGTACACTTGCTAACACTGGAAGGTATACAAAGGAACGACGAAATTATAGAAACCTAGGCTAGTTTATTTTTGATGTTCCTAACAGAATAGTAGGTGCAAATATGGCTTTGTTTTCTTCTCAGACATAAAGATTCCTCCAGTGCACATATTTATCAGGAAATGCATAATATATGCAGTTGAAGATACTTAAAGCATAAGACACGCACATAGCAAGAGTGCAAAATCATGGGTATATTTGGTTGTGTTTTTGACAAATAGAAGGATTTATGCGCTACACTATTTTTGAGTAAGTACATAGCATATGTCATTGATATCTCACCATTGTTCTCAATGGCTTTCCTTCTCAGCCAAAACCATATAAGACCCAAAATCAGGAGCATCACAAACACAGTTGAAGCAACAACTATTCCGACGATGGCTGCAACTGATAACTTATTGTCCTTGAAAATACGAGGTGTGAAATCTACATAACAAAAAAAATAAATTAGAATCAACCAATCACATGGTATAGAAGGAAGCACAGAAAATATCCCTACAAACATACTTGGTGTTACCGAAATTGCTGATATGAGAGGCCCATATACACCTCTTGCAGGAATAGCATTTGTCCCTTTGCCAGACCACATGAAATGGATCTCCAGAGTACTGTCTACTACTAGGGCAGTGAAATTCAACGTAATATCCTTGCCAGTTCCATTGGCTGCTTCTACAATGTTGAAGTCTCTTAAGACCTTATGGCCCTGTTTCAATGCAAGGAATTTTGTTAACTAGATCTACATAAATCTTGGTTAATTACATACAAACTGAAAACCTAAATATAGAGAACACAGGCTATAGGATAAATAAACAAGGAATATTTTTCCTGAAGTGATCCAGCAGGCACCATAGATGTCAACGAGAAGAATAATAAGAAAGTATTCATTCTCATGAATATTGTAAGCCCAAAGAACTCAACTGACCTGAATTGATACATCAAACACACGCCTTCCAACACTAGCAAATGTCTGGTCATTAGTAAAAACTATCTCAGCAAAGTGGAGTTTGACTGTATAATTCCCTGGCTGCAAACATAGACCATAGTATCTGAGAGACAGTGGACTCAAACGAGCGGATGTGTACAATTCTGCATTGGGCATTGTCAATATTGATGCATTTTCTGCAACATATGATGCCCTGCTTCCCCCAATAAAGTCTCCTGTACTGCTATAAGCCCACTTTCCGCTGCTAGAATGAAAATATTTGGATGCGCCTTCCAATGATGAGTCAATTTCATATTCATTTCCACCAAGAGTCACCTTTTTACCTCCACAGTTTATGAAAAAGTTATAGTCTGTAGAGATTCAAAAAACACGAAAATGGTCATTCATCCAAACAAATCAGACTTCTAAATCAGAAGAATATTTTCTTCTAACCCTACAAAGGAAGAACGAGACAGAAAACTAAAAAGCCATCCGACAGAGTGGAGATTTTATACTCACTTTTAGCTATCCCATCACAAGGGAGGTCTTTCCTTAAACATGAAGGTACCCTACAAAAGTCAAATGAAGAGAGTAAAGAGATCAAACACCTTGTAAACACGAAGAGAAACATAGAGAAATATGCACTGTAACAATGTAAGAAACCTACGAGTTACTTGTTGTCGATAAAAAACTGGCAACATAGTTCCTACAAGCCAGATTAAACATTGTCAATTCTAGAAACTATAATTAAATAAGATTAGCCCAGAGAAACAAAAGGGATTATTATACCGTGATTCCTGGTCACAATTAGGTGGTGCAGACGAAGTTTCAGTGAACATATTATAAGAAATATCCCTGAAAATTTTATTTTTTCGTTAAGATAGTGGTTCAAAGAGAACGAAAAATGTATTAGGATATAAACTGCATGAAAATTTCAAGAAGACAGCGTACACGTTCTCTCTACTTCTACTGATCCAACCGGGTATTGATCCATTAAGCCTGTTGTTTGTAAGGTACCTGCATATGAAAAACCAACATTAAATATGGAATCCAACAAAATCATCTAGAAAAGCCTGCCTAAAGATCGAAAAGGAATGAGTCTTAAAATTTTCCTAGTCTATGAAGCCGAAGCACCAAGTGAATCGGACCAAATTATCTTACATATTGGCCAAGATTCGCAGACTCGCGAAATTTTCCGGTATTTCCCCCGTCAAATTGTTAAAGCTCAGATCCCTGCAAGTAAAGCATACGTTTTTTAAAAGGGGGAAAAACTGGACGAAAAAAAAAAAAGGTTCTCCCTGTGAGCAGGCAACATGATTTTTGCGCTCAGTATTTTTCGAGAAAACATTAGCAACTTATATTTCATGCAATCTAACAAAGATGAAAGCAAGAGAAATGGCAACAGGAAAATAATTGATGCTGGAAGAGGGCTGCAGTCTAAAGATGATAACCACAATTATTCCAGTTTTGTCTCCAAGACAGTAAATGATCTTCAACTCGAAACTCGTCCGTTTTCTAAGAATAGGTTCACCATCAAAGTTCTACTAACTCTAACATTTTTAGGGTTGTCTGTTGAGTGCATAGCAAGGAATCATGCCTGGGGTGGATATTACTATATATATAACAACCAATTTCTTTTCTATCAAAGGACACATTTGCTATACCTGTGATAATTGGTGTCTGTGATTTTTTTGGTCGTAAAGGATGTGTCCACAGTTCACAGCAATACAATAAACTATGAAGAGAAGAAGAAAATAACAAGTACTGTGTGGATGACATCAAATATTCCACCAAAAATAGACTACTGGGAAGTAACACTTGTACATATGAAACCAGCAGAAGACTACCTAAATGAAATACTGAAACCAGGATTGATGGGTAGAAATCTTCGGGGAAATAAACATGACAGAAAAAGAAGATGATACTAAACTGCATTGCATGCTCATCTATGCCTTTTCAAGCAAAATTTACAACATAACACGCAGTCCACATGCCTATAGGGCAGTGACGAAAGATCATGCAGAACTACTGACATAAACAAGAACAACACATTCGCATATTCTAAACCGATGCAAATCCGGACTTGTTTTGGTCTGTTCAAAGGATCATCATGACAGGCTCGTAGCATAATTATCCCGAAAAATTAGACAATTTAAAACAATATTATCAGTTGATCATGAAATTATCCAAAAAATTGGGGTTAGGAACCGTACAGGGTCTTCAGTTTAGTCATGTTCCCGATGTAATCAGGGATCATCCCAGATATCGAGCAATTCCGGAGAACCCTGCAGTATTTACCCCAAAAATATGTCACGTAAACTGAAAAGGATAATCGATTGGGCTAAAACATACACTAACTGTACGCTTACAGTTGTTGCATGCCTAGCATTTTCTCAAGGGGAGGGAAGCTACCATCTGACTTTTTCAGGTCAGAGACTCTCCTGCGGAATAAAGCCAACAAATATCTTATCCTTACAATGTATTATCCCAGATAGTTGTACTTAAGTAGAGAAACGGAAAAAAGCTAAACGTACAACTCAGTTATGCCTTCCAGTAATGAAAACTCTGGCGGAAAGGGACCCTCCATAGATGTGCCTTGCATGTCACTGCGACATTTGCGAAAGTATATATCATGGAAATGCCACACGGTCAAAGTATCCTTTCAAAATCATAAGCAGATATCGAAACAAGCAAATAAAGACAGCCAGTCATCCGTGGGACTAACAATCTCCGTAGCTTCGTCCAGTTCCCTATCCAGCTCGGTATCTTCCCAGATATCTCAGTGCCGTCGATCCTACTGCAAGAACACCATTGTACCCCCGTTATTACCCACTAGAACATCTTCGTCCAAATTTAAGAGCACCACAAATACAAGAGTTGGAGGCATACAAATCTGTCAAGTTTGTCAGCCTACTAAGTGCTTCTGGAAGCTCACCAGTGAAGTTGTTGGCAGAAAGAAAGCTAAAAAGAGAACATGCTCTGTCATTAACCATCCCACAAGTTGCAATCGTTCAACCAAACAGTCTCCATCCATTTTCTTAGATTCGCGTAAAGAAGAACAATTCGATTCATGAAGAAGAATAGAAGAGAAACTAGAGACTTACAGTCTTTCTATGTTGATCAACTTTCCAAGTCCACGAGGAATCGGTCCTTGTATCATATTGTTCTCCAAGACACTTCAAAGAACGCACCAAACACAAATAAAAGTTTGTCGATGAACAACCATCACCAAGAAGCAATGCTGGACTGTGTAGAAATTATCTACTAGGAACAGGATATGAGGCACTACAGTGACCGAAGCGGTGTAATGTTCCCAATCTCCTCGGGAATGGCACCTGAGATTCGGTTCCCCAGAAGGGATCTGCAGTGGTACAGAACACGGATATCAGTTACATCTACTACCACATGGGCCGCAGAATAGCGGAGCTGAGTTTTCGTCAACGAGGACGCTGGTGATTTTACAGGTTTCGCAGAGGGAGCGAAGCCCAGTCGGCGGCAGGTATGGACCCATTGATGTAGTTCCGAGTCAGGTCACTGTTCGGTCCCGCAGATTCAGAGGATACAGAAATTGAGAGTGGAGATGTTCAATTCCTCGAAGTACAGAAGAAATAATGAACAAACACTTCAATTCGGGGCAGCGAACGTACATGAAGAACAGGGAAGTGAGGTTGCCGAATTCCTCCGGCAGCACTCCCGTCAAATTGTACCCCTTGACCTCTCTGTGCACAATTTTTCCCGGACCAAAACGAATAAGCGACGCGTAGGGTTAGAACGGACCATCCGATGAAATGCTACTCGAGAAGGCGGAGGGGAAGATCAGTACATGCTGACGACATGGCAGACGTTGGTCGTCGCGTTGCAGTCGCAGACGACGTTGTGGGAGACGACGGAGCTTTTGGTTTCCTTCAGCCAATCGAAGCAAGGGTTTACACTGAAATTCCATAGCGTCGGGGGGATCTTCAGCTTCGTCGCTGCTTGCCTGAGCGCGTTGACTGCTCCCCCGCAACGCCCCGGAGGCAGGGAAGGAGAGAGAATAATGCGAGGATCAACGCTTTAATTTTGTTACTAAAATAAATTAAAAAAATCTCCCATCAAAGGATCGCAAAGACACGGAATGCATATGATTTCCGCTTTCGAGGAGTTTACATCAGCGTTATCATTCGGACGAAAAAAATCTGAAAAAAATTGGGACGCTTTTGCGCATATATTGGTGGGAGGCTTGTCCGTGTTCTATCTGAGGTAAGACGAGTGAAGGCGAAGGTGAAGGAGAAACTTATCGATCAAGCAAATAGATCAGCAGCAAGTAGGATCTCCACCGAGAGCCGCCTCTGATTTGGGTGTCATCGCACCTGAATCAGGTCATCTCAGTGTTCGTTCAAGTATTGGCACTACTGAAGACGCCGTTCACAGAGGCGGGCTCTCCGTAGCATTGATCAGATCCAACGACTGGTTACCATCGGTCTCTCCGTAGACCTTCTCATTCTAGTCCCACAGCATGTACGGTCTCTCTTTCTCTCTTATCCCCCCCGCAAATTGTAGAGCTTAGGAGCAGCACCGAGGGAGACGAAGAAGCACTGGACGAATGTCGAGTACGGAGGGAAGAAATCGCCGGCGGAGCGTCTCACCTTCATTGGGGGGAAGGGGAAGGGTCTGGGCGTGGGATCCCAGGCCCTGGAGGCAGCAGCTGAGAGTCGCGGCCAGGAAAAGGAAAAGCAGCCCTCGGTGAATCCTCGGCGGCCGGTACACGGCCAGAGCAGCAGCTCTCATCTCGCTTCACCTGTCAATCAAAGCACAGCACAGCAGGGACGACCCAAAGCAGAAACCTCCGGATCCTGGGAAGGGAAGAGAAGAGGGGATAATGCGAGAGAGAACGGGACAGACTGACAGATCTGATTTCCAATGAAGGAAAAAAAAAGGCTTTCGATCCGCCTTTTCCCTCTGATTTCGGCGCCTCCGCTCTCCAGTGGGGCCTCGGCAGCTGTTCAAATCTGGCGGCTGCAATACTTTCGACCTCTACAGGACAACGCGAGGTCGGGATGCTTCACAGGATTGGGTACTCGAGGGGCCACCAGAGCAGACGGTGGCTGCGGGCATCCCGGAAACCCGATCCTCTGCATGCATGCATGCATGCATGAATGCGTTGTGCGGATGGAGACACTATTGTAATAATAATGCACCCCCCATATTTGGTAGGCATTTAAAGAAAATTAAGCCATCCTATATTGACCGCATTTTATAGAAGTCGTCTTCTTAAACCAGCTCAGTAATCACTTCTTAGCTGCATCTTCATCCACTTATTGCTGGAATGCGTGGAGAATGATCATTTTTTAACGAAGTGCCATACATAATTGAGTTCATGCGACTTGGTAAGTGGTACAGTTAGTCACCCACTTTGGAGAATAATTTGAATGAGGAATAATTATCTCCTAGGTCGCTATAACCCCCCTCCCCCTTGGAAAAGTCAGCTGCAAATCATAGAACACTTGGGCATGTGACGATATAAATAGATATATCATCACATGATAGCAATGGATGCCTAATATATTCAACCTACATCACCATCGATCGATACAACTGGGTGAAGTTGTTTGACTCATTCAATGAGCAATGTAACTTACCCTTTGACCTTGTGATGAGGCAATTAGTTCTCGCTTTGACCCAAAGTGAATAAGTCAACTGAAAATGTGTAGATGATAAAGTTATGATATGTTACTGACAAGGTGATCTTGAACATGATATTGATGATATACGAGGGCATGGATCATCTTAGAACACATGGCAGATGAAGTTTATACAATGGTTGACAGGTCATTTGGACCCACATGACGTGCAACAAACATGCTCCTATGGCTCACTATGATTTAAATAAGCACTAGATACTTGGCCAACAGAAGATAAGCAGTGCATATGTAACGATGATTTGATAGAAGTGAATATTGAATCCACAAGATAACAAGAGATATATTATTTAATGACAACACCGTCGCATCTGCTTAAATCTCATTTACTTCATGATGCGATGTATATCTTTTCATAATCTGATGACGCCAGGCGCATTGACGTCGGTGATGTCATCTTAACATACTATGACGGTAAAATGTCTTGGATACATGCGCTCAATACTCTTTCGGGAGAAGAGGCAACGCAGTGCTCGCCCATTAACAGTTGGTCGTCATCAGTTATCCCTCCTTGCAAACGTGTCCATTGACCAACGCCGCCATTGACCACGTCGCCAGTTGACTGAACCGATGGTGACGTTAACCAAATCCATCCTCCACGAGGGTCAGTTTTTCCACAGCAATGAATATGCGGAAATGAAATTTGCCCGCATGCAATATAGAAAAGTAATCTAAAAAAAAATCACCCACGGCTAAACAGACCAACATTAGAACACCCACCCACCAAAGTCGGACCATTTTTGATCGTTGACCACCAATCAGGCACGGCTATCTCCTCTAAATACCAAATATATCAGGTTAGAAGGCTAAGCTCTAGTGAATCTCTGGCACGGTTTACTATTCTTGGAATAAGCAGCAGATGAGGCTAACGGGGCGGCAATAGCCGTGCCCCATCAAATGGTTAATAATAAAGTCAATGGAAAAGAATAAAAGAAGGGATAAAAATGGTATGGTCAACATCGGGGCAAAGCTGTGCTGATTTCGATGGAGGGAGCATCAAGTGTCAACACCTTTCTAGGAACAACGGATAAGCAGATAGACAGAGAGAGAGAGAGAGAGAGTAGCCGATCCTGTGGTGAGGAAGAGGAGAGGGGAGGAGAGTGGTCATCGAGATAACTCACCTTTTGTTAAGAGCCTGACAACCCAAATGGGCTCATAGAGAAAGAGGTCTTGAAGAAGCGGGCCCAGCCCAGGAACAAAGCAAGGCAGACAGGAGATATGTGCGGCGGATGAAGTTCGGCAGGGAACTGGGACAGACCCAACAGGGATAGAGCACAGCACTTAGGTCCCGATGGAACCGATTAGAGTGAGACAGGAGGCGGTTGCCGATGCCAGAAGACTTCGGCTATAAAGAGGGGCTGAGCGGCCACAAGAAAGGGAGGTCGGAAGAACCTCTTGAAGAACTCTGTGTGGAGTGGAGACTCGCCATCTCGCATTGGCGACCCCAAGACCTGAGAAGTCTTAGTTATTTTGTATTCTCTTTATCTATATCCCTGTATCCCTTGTTGAGTTTCTCTCTCTCTCTCTCTCTCTCTCGTCAGTCTCTCAACCATTCACAGTCTTCTTGTGGGAGCCATCTGGAGCCTGGGTGCTAGAGTTTTGTACGAGACAGGTTTATCTATTAAACCAGTTCATATTTTGACACCTTAGTCAAAGGGTCATCATCAATTGATATCAGAGCACAGCCACGCTTCTATGGGGCCCAAACCCTCCTATCCCAAGCTCGACTCTCTCAAGAAAGAGCTGGTGGAGTTCTAGCTCCTCACCAATAATAAACTGACGGCTCATGACGAACAACTTCAAGTAATACAAGCAGAGAAGACAGACATGTGCCAAAGACTGAATTTAATCTCTCACCAACTAGAGTCGATGGCCCATATCCTAGACAATATCTAACGCCATGTAGGCATTTCTCCTAATCGAGTTGGCAAAATCAAATTTTTTCTAGAGCCATTGGAGGAGTAGCCCCCTGGAGATACAAGTGCAGTACAACCTCTGGCTCCGCCCGATAACCCTTGTTACCGAGAAGATCCATTTGACAACTCATACCCCCACGACAGTCCGTCAAACTACTGCCATCCACAAGGATCTCTATAACCCAACCCTTGACGACAACTAGAGTTCTCTGTCTTCACAGGGTCCAACCCAGAAAACTAGATATATTGTGTCGAGATATATTTCTTCACCTTTCAACTAACAACACCTGAGCAACTGGTAGAGGCGTGCATCAGCATGGATGAAAAGGCCCTCCACTAGCTCCAATAGGTTAAATCCCGATGGCCATTCCGCAATTGGAAAGATCTAAAGCATAAGTTGTTGGAATGCTAGGAGATAAACACTCCAACTCTCTCAGCCACCAATTCTTCGAACTCAAACAAACAAGGTCAGTGGACGATTACAGGGAGCAGTTTGAATTATTATCCCGTTCTGCAACATGTCAAAGGCCATTCTAGAAGGCAACTTACTCAAGGGTCTTTGGCGAGAGATACAGGCAGAGGTGATCGCCCTCAACCCACATGGCCTTGAAGCAATGATGCAAACAACCTAGAGGGTTGAAATTGAGCTAATATCATTGAAGAATGGAGGTTGACTGCAGCAAGATAGAGGAGTAGAGAAAGGGTCTTCGGTGTACGATGGGCGCCAAATATGGCCGCCACTACAAGGCGGGAGCAACCGCAAGGGATACCATAGTTCCAGTCCAATGACGACAAGTCCTGCATATCTTCACTAGTAGAGTACCTCAAATCGATCACTGTCCATGCCTGCACCTCAAGGCTGCTGAAATTCAATCTCGTTGGACCTAAGGCCTATGTTTTCACTATGATGAGAAATTCATGCCAGACCATCGGTGCAGACAAGAGCTGAATATTTTTTTTACTCCTGTGCCTTCCACTGATGTATCACGTTCATATTCGTTGCCGTCAACAATCACACTTTCACCTCCACAATTTATGAAAAGGTTATAGTCTGCAGAAATTCCGAAAAGCCAAATAAAAAATTAATCAAGAGAACGTCATGTTCGTATGTCAGAGTTTCAAATCATAGGGTTGTTCTCCTCCAACCATGCAAAAGAAAAAAAATCAAACTGAAAAGGTACAGAAGCTGTCTCGTAGAAAGGAGATTTATACCCACTTTTAGGTGTGCCATCACAGGGGAGGTCCTTTTTTAAACACGACGCTATCCTGCAAAGGTTGAACGGAGAGAGTGAATCATTTAGACACTTTTGAGATACCCATAATATAATATAGACTTCAACAATGTCAGAAACCTACGAATCACTTGTGGTCGATGAAAAGCTGGCAACGTAGTTCCTGCAAGTTAGGTAAACATAGTTTAATTCCAGACACAATAATTAAAAGCAACAGGTGCGACAGACAAAAAACATGCTTACCGTGATTCTTGCTCACAGTTAGGTGGTGCAGATGAAAGATCGGTGAATGTATTGTAAGAAATATCCCTGACATTTAAACGTTGTGTTATGATGATGATTCATACACAACAAAAAATTCACTGGGACATAAAATGCAAAATATTGCCTGGAAGACAAACGTACATCTTCTTTCTGGTTCTCCTAATCCAATCGGGTATTGATCCAGTAAGTTTGTTGCTTGTAAGATAACTGATTATGCAAAATCAAACCAAGTGCGGGATACAATAAAATTATCATGAAAACGTTCCTTCAACAGAAAGGGTATAAATCTTCTGACTTTCCCACCAGCATATTAAGTTGAATCATTGATTGAATCGAATCTGCAGGCACTTACATAGTGGTTAAGTGTCCAAGATTCTCAAAGCTTTTTGGTATTTCACCCGTCAAATTATTAAAGCTCAGATCTCTGCAGCACGAGTCCATCAAAAATGTGCAAAAGCGGAGACAAATAATTGTTCTCCCTATGACCAGAAAAAATGATTATCAAGGTACGAGTCCTCATTTCAAGATCGACATGATAAACCCATATTGATGATAATCTAGCAATTACGAGAGCGAGAAAAAAGGCTGCATGAACATCATTGATGTGGGAACAAGTATGTAAAGTAAGATGAAGTTGACTATTTTTCTAGTTTTACGTGAAAAATAGTATAGGAATT